TAAAGGGTCAATAATTATTGCTTTATTAAATAACTATTCATAACAATAAAACTTTAACGTATTAACTAATATACTGTAGTGTTATATAGCAAATAATCGTATTAATTATGCATTTATGATTCACTATAATATAGCGGACCAATGAAATTTTGGTCACGTGACCAACTCTGTTTACATCAAACTTCATACTCTCCTTGGTTATGTTTCGTAGAATAACTCACGCATGCTTGTTTAAAATTTATTGATGCCGTGAAGAAGTTTGTTAGGAGATTAAGATTGGTTATACACAAAAGGAAATCGTATTTCAAGATACGTAAGTAACCTCTTAATAATTTAATCGGCTTTAATATCCTGAATTAGAAATTTCATACTTGCTTCTCTAGGTTAGCGCGTAAGTGTTGAACAGAAACACCAAATTTGTAAGTCGCGTACGTGTTTACAATGTCAACCGATTTTTATATACGCTACTATGTCGGTCATAAGGGGAAATTTGGCCATGAATTTCTGGAATTCGAATTCAGACCAGACGGTAAATTGCGGTACGCGAATAATTCGAATTATAAGAACGACACCATGATTCGAAAAGAAGCGTACGTGCATCAGTGCGTGATGGAGGAACTGAAAAGGATTATCCAGGACTCGGAAATTATGCAGGAGGACGATTCTTTGTGGCCTCAGCCAGATCGAGTCGGACGTCAAGAATTAGAGATCGTAATCGGAGATGAGCATATATCATTTACGACTTCGAAAACTGGTTCTCTGTTGGATGTGAATCAGTCACGAGATCCAGAAGGACTGCGTTGCTTCTATTATCTCGTCCAGGATCTTAAGTGCTTAGTATTCTCTCTTATAGGACTTCACTTTAAAATAAAACCTATTTAAATACTTATAATTATATTCTTACTCTGCCCACATTTAAGTAAATTTAATGTAATTACTTGATTGTAAGGAAATACATGATAATTTTTAATGATCCCATCATTTTTCTTCAATTGTTAATATTTATATGATTAAGGATTATTAATAAAAGAATGAAATTATGATAAAAAGCTGGAAGTAGGTCTGAATCATATTTGCATTCTATTGTAAGATCTATTGTGTGATTGTTCTGCAAGAAAGATTAATGATAAAAGATATGAACTAGCTCCAAAGTATTTAAACGATTCACTTCATCCAATCTCGTTAAACTAAGGATGACCAAGGATCGTCGCAATTACTAACGAGAAGTTTCGTGTAAGTAGGTTATTATAGGTTATGATTGTTTGACCTCTGTGTCAGTAATCACAAACAATTTTTGAATACTTATATTTCGAGTCATTCCATTACATTTCTTGTTATCACTTTATTATTTTTCAAGTAAAATACAATTCATAATCATCACATAAATCATTTTTCATAATTCCATATTTAAACAAATTATAGATATATTTTTGTATATATGACATTATAAAGGATGTTCAGTTTTGGAATTTCTTTATTTTCATATCGTTTTTATTGTAACAAATATTCTTGAAACCTCAGGTCAAACGTAATCTGACTGAATACGATTGTGAAATTGTTAACCTAAACATGATATCTTGTCTCATGTTGACAGTTTATTGTTTGTTATAGTAATAAAATGTCTTCTGAGGACGACGAATCTGCCAACCAAACTGACAGTGAGGACACTGGTCGAGCTGTTACAGATTCTGTGTATTCAAGATTTAGATCGATCCAAGTATACTGCGAAATATGTAATGTAAACATTGTTGGAAACGAACCAGCTATCAAAAAGCATTTTGACAGTAACCATCCTTCCAAGGAAAAGTGCACTTACTGTAAGGGCAAAGTATTTACTTATATACAGATGCCAATCGATGATTCCACAGAGCAAACAAAAAGAATAGTTTATCATAAGTGCAATAGGCCTTAAGGAAAATACATTACTCATAAGTTTAATTCTTTATTGCAATTACAAAACAAAAAAGTGCTAAAGACTTTTTTTACAAAATATAACCGAAGATACAAGTAAACATGGATATAAAAATGTTTAAAATTATGGAAGCAGTTGTGCAGCAAGAAATACACAAAATTCCATTCGAAAGAAGTTGCCGTTGTACAAGAAATGATTGAATTTAAACTTACAGATATCTTAAAATTGGTTCTAAATACAAAAGTATTTGTATATAGAATTATGTTTAAGATAGGTATACAAAATACATCGTCTTACATCTGTTTATAGAAACTTTCAATTTGCAAATTGTACTGTGATAGGTAATTTTTGCAATATTTAGGTTAGAAATATACGTAACTGAATGTAAGAAAATATGTTTCAGATCAAATTATGTACTACACATTCCGCCGACACTTGCCATTTGTGTTCATCGATATATTTCATAAATACTCATATATGTATTTTATAAAAATATTATATTATAATTTGTAATGAATATATATATACATATAGAATAGATAAAGTAATTTATTAATGTCTTACTTAAAAAAATATTTATATATTTATGAAAATGTTGCAAACAATTTTTAATAGATAATTTAGTATTTTATAGTTAAGCTATGTGTGCAGTGTTTATAACAATCATTATTAGTAACATTGAATTGTACTTTGTCCATTGTAGAATGTACAAAAATACAATAATACTGAATTCCACAATTAATAATCATTTGGATTTGATGGAATAGTAAAACTAAATTTTTAAGTAACATATTTGCGCTATGGTATCTATTACTCATACTGTATGTGCAACTTTCTGAATAAGCTATTCTAATACTTTCTTATCTTTAGTTTCCAGTAATTAGAATTCAGTTGCTTGATAAAAGCTTCACATGGACTCATAGAATACTATGTATAAATATTTCTCGTGATTTCTGGAATTTGCTATTCATTTCTATGCAAACGAATGAGTTTTTAAAAATAATTTTAATCTTGTAGGATAATCTGTCATTACACCAGTTGCTCCAAGATCAAAAGCTTTTTGAAATTCTTCGTCTCTATTTAAGACCCAAAAATAAACGTGTATCCCGCGAGCTCTTAAATGGTTGAATAAGCATCGTCTCATTAGTAGTACATTAATAGTGCGCACAAGAATCTTCTCTAAAGGTAAAAATGTTGATTTCGGAACTCGTTGGTGCCTGTGATAAAATTATAATTAATATTCACTTTATTTTACTGAATAGCAACTAACGTTTTAAACGTACCTTATATAAATGGAAGGTAGAAATATTTCCAGATGCGTTTCTTTTAAAGGCACAAATGGTAACAAGCCAGTATATAAGAGAACTATTAACAAGCTTACACGTCGCATAGAGAATAACAAGTTCACGTTTGGATTCTGCATAAAAGATAACATTCTTTAATCCTCTTATCATTTTAGTATGAATAATTATAAACTGTTTAAAAACTAATTAGATACCGTTTTATAACATTTCTGTGTTATCTTATCATCAAAATTTCCCCAAACTGTATATTCTTCGCGATTGTACTGCTTTATCAGTTCAGACACCTTTGATATAAGTTCATCATTGTTAATTTTAATATCGATATTAATTGGCATATTGGGAAATGCCTCGAATACTTCTTTCAATAGGGGAAACCGTCTCTCTTCTTCTTTTTCCGGACCAATATATTCTGCATCTATTAAACTATAGTTTTTAAATAATTTTATTTAACAATACACATCTATATATATATCATTTACAATTACCTGGATCAAAATCAATTGGAAGACACAATTTCAATAGAGGTAGATCTTTGTAATCCAATTCTGAAATATTCTTATCTGTACCTGTACAGCGTAAAAGATTTTGATCATGAGACACGACTACCTCTCCATCTTTTGTGAGTTGACAATCCAATTCCAACATTTCTGTTCCAATAGCAACAGCACTGAAACAATAAATACTTTTATAATGTATCAGTTAAGACAAAACATACGGAATAATTGTTCACAGGACTATCTTGTTTCTTTAATCATTGATATTCTTTATTGTTATTTTCTATTGTCTTATGACCTTGAGTACACTGTGACTAACCGTTTGAAGGCATACATCGTATTCTCATAGCCCTCCCCCGCTCCTAGAAAAAAATTTAAGTGTTTTTCACGTCAACAAAAATTATGATCATTATAATGATCTATAGATTATAAAAAGTTATAAAACATACCTCCTCTGTGGCTGATATGTTGACACGTAAATTTTACTTTTTTCTTTTTGTGCAATAACGTTGGATATTTAAACAATATCATCGACGTTATCATATAACCTCCGATTATCGTGTACAGTAACATCTTATATTAATTCGTCGTTTTTAATTCTGCAATGTACCAACTCATCGCACTATTGTTTACACGAATTTTTATTATCGTGGGAATAAACGTATCGAGTGACAAAGTCTCAGTAGAAGATACGCGAGACGTTTCCTTGTTGACATGACTACATATCAAATAATGGTATTTTAACGTACAGTTATTAATTATTCCTTTAGAAGATATAACATGAAAAATAAATTTCGGCTCCCGTACAAAGAATTATTGTATCTGTTATTTTTTAGTCTATTATTTGAAGAACACAGGAAAGTTAATTTACCATGTGTGTGTCAATTATTTAATACAAAATTCGAATCGTTAAATCGAATTGATTTCAAATTTATCGATAAAGTCGCACGAGAGGAAAGTTACCAAGTTCCGCTTCCCTTTCAAGTTACGTTTCTAATTGTAATTGAAACGTTAGCTGTAAATATAATTGCTTATCAATTTAATAAATAATTATGAAAGAAATAATTAATTATAGAGTTTTAATAACTCTGTCTAATGTATTAATTGCATGGAAACTAGAAATGGACCTTGAAGGTGAAGGGGAAATGGAAGTTGGTGACTTTTCCCTCACACAACACGATTCATGAATTCGAGTAATACTGGTTGAAATGATCGTTGATTCAAAACATGAAACTGACATCAACTAGCGTTCGATCGAAAGTTTTGTTAAGCGTTATTGTATAAATGATTTCGTGAAGAGTAACATGTCTCTGTCACGTCTTTATTTTTGTTAATAATTCTTGAGAAATGGGAGGACTGTACTAAGTGGGCTTTAAAATCATTAAAAGTTCCGAACCCAGATAACCTAAATACTGTTAAATAGGTAACTATATTAACCTGTTGGACGCGGAGCTTTCCCCCTAGTTCGGAGATTTTCCGAATACACCTGTCAAAACGAGTTTTAAAAGCTTCCTTTACAAAAATGTATTTTCGCCAGCGTTTCTCATTCGTGTGACGAGATGTCGGATTCGAATTCACCAAAAACAGATGCAAGCAGTCCAACACTTTCTCTAAACTTACGACAATTTCGTTTTCAAAAGAAACAACTGAAACCATTAAACATGTGTAAGTAACTCGTTACTTTCGATTTTCAATTTGTATGTCGTTATGAGCATTGTCCATCTTTTGTTGTTGTTTTAATCGGGAATAGATTCTTACGTGATCGTTACATCTTTTCGGCGTACTGATTTTTTAATATTACATTTGTGCGTTAATATTAACGTGGAAATACGAAGAATAATACGTATTTTATCTTGGTTATAAAGAATAATATTATCAATAGTTGTTTTCTGATATAATTCTAATTCCCTTTTCTATGTTTGTCAGCGGATGATGACAGCAATCTAACAAGTTCTGAGATACAGTTTCGACGTAAGCCAGTGAATGTAATCGAAGACAGCGACAGTGATGCAGGCAGCTCTGCTAAAAACACAGTCTCTTCGGCTGACAAGGACAAAGTAGTATTAATTAATTGGGTGTTGAGCTTTTGGAATGATTTGGAAAGGATACTGAGGAATTTTTTTATATTAACAGGAAGTACAAAGTAATGCAAATTGGAATAGCGATGATGGCAATGAAGATTCAAGGAATATTAGAAAGAGGAGTTATAAAGGTTCTTCTAAACAAAATAAGAAGAAAAGAAGAAAATTGAACACGGAAGAGGATATAGATATTGATTCTGATGAAGCAAATTTTAAGGATAAAGTGTTTGATAGGTAAGCATTTAATAACTGAAAATTGTAGTAATTTTAACTCTTTCTCAATGGTATTTATAGCGACGAAGATTCAGACATGGAAATATCTAACGAACTTACTGCTGATAAGAAGGCAGTTTTGGAGTTCATGCAAAATTCTCCTGTGTCCGAATTACTTTTAATGTCTCAATGTTCTCAAAAGAAGGCAAACGCTATTATAGAAGCGAGGCCGTTTAAAGACTGGAGAGACTTGGTTGAAAAGTTCCAAAATTACAAACATTTGGATACAGAGCTGTTGAATTCAGCTCAAGTAAGTAACAGTCAAAATCGTACATCTTTGTTATGTACAGTAATCAATATTAACCCTTTAGCTGTGGCGAGCTTCAAGTGAAAACTGTCCGCGGGGCGATAATCGCGTGTCGGTCGCTGAGATGAAACTGAGACTGAATTACTTTGTTGAATTACATGTTGCATGTTCATGCAACACGTAATAGTATGTCATATAATATATCAGCTCAGTGAGAAAGATAAATAATATGCTTAACGAAATTTACTAGGGCTACATATATGCCTTTCACAAATAATAATTAATACACAAGAGCGTAAATATACGCCTTTTGCAAATGAATGACTACTTTCTTAGGGCGTATAGATACGCCTTTCGCAGGTAAACGATTAAATTCAATAACATTACTCGAATAAAACAGGAATTACTAGCCACAAGACACGGGGTAGGAATTCTTATGAAGAAGTGTCTCCGTTTATCCACGAACATCGAAAAGGCTGTAGCTGCAGGAGCGTTAACCATCACGAAGCAACCGAGCGGATTATCGCCAAATCTAACGTTAGCTCCGTATCAAATGGTTGGCTTAAATTGGCTGGCCGTGATGCACGCGCAAAACGTGAATGGCATACTCGCGGATGAAATGGGTTTAGGAAAAACGATACAAGTAATAGCGTTTCTTACGTATTTGAAAGAGGCTGGTCTCAAGGATGAAAAGGATGGGCCGCATTTGATAGTTGTTCCTAGTTCGACCATGGGTAAATAAATTTCGTAGATTCCATTGGTCTTTATATTCCTATTTACAACGTACTTTTAACCTGTGCAGAAAATTGGAATAACGAGTTGCAGAGGTGGTCGCCTGACTTGAAGGTTGTACGATACTTTGGTTCCCAGGAAGAGCGAAAAGAGATGAGAATGGGTTGGCGAAACGGTGATCTAGACGACGTTGATGTACTCTTAACCACGTATAATTTAATTAGCAGTACACCGGAAGAACGACGGTTGTTCCGCGTTATGCCGATACACTATGTGGTTTTCGATGAAGCTCACATGTTAAAGAATATGAGCACCATTAGATACGAAAATCTTGTTAGAATCAATGTACGTATCTCTCCTCACATGTACAATTCATTTATTCGATTAGATAACTAACACGAATTATAATAATCTTCTTAGGCTAAATATCGAATTCTTCTAACGGGGACACCTCTACAAAACAATTTATTGGAATTGATGTCGCTGTTAACATTTGTGATGCCTTCGTTATTCGCCGCTAAACAAGCCGATTTAAAGAGTTTATTTGCAAAGAATTCCGTAAGTGTTAGGTAGCTCGATAGCAGTAGCGGTAGCAGTGATCTTTGAGAAAAAGGATATGATGTTTTACGTGGTGCTGTGTATTCAATTTTAGAAGATACCAGCAGTTAAAAAAAACGGCGAACAGCCACTGTTTGAGCAGGAACAAGTTAAAAACGCGAAGCAAATTATGAGACCGTTCGTGCTTCGTCGATTGAAGGCCGAGGTTCTTCGAGATTTGCCTGAAAAAACTGATCGCGTAATAAGGTGTTCGATGACGAAGAAACAACAAAAATTGTACAAAAATTTAATCGCCAAGTTCTCGGAGGAAGCCGATCAGAGCACCGAGGTTAATGGCGTCGGGATGATGATGCAGTTGAGGAAGCTGGCCAACCATCCACTTTTAACGCGAGATCATTACGACGAATCGAAGTTAAAAGTAAATTTACACTTCTAGTTTATTTATGTAATAAAAGACTCGAATTTTTTCCTACAATATTACGACTGTTTACAATTTTGTGTTAGATAATATCGGAGAGATTGGCGAAAGAGCAAGGATATAAACAAAAGAACGCGGATTATATACTCGAGGATTTGCACTGGATGTCCGATTATCAGATAAATCAATTAACGAGGACGTATAAAAGCTTAGCTGGACTAGGCTTACAACAAGAACTCATTCCCGAGGCTGGTAAATTGAAAATATTGGACGATTTATTGCCGAAATTAAAAGAGGATGGTCATAGAGTGTTAATCTTCAGTCAATTTACAATGGTATTGGATATCTTGGAGGAATATCTAACGATCAGAGGAAAGACGTATTTAAGGTTTGTTTTGTGTATTAAATATCGAGTTTACTTCGTAATTTCTTCGTAAGATGTCTTGCCAACTTTTATATTTTATGCGATCGCGGGAATATAGATTGGATGGAAGTACACCGGTAACGGATAGACAATTCTTAATAAATCAGTATACGGAAGACGAAAGTATATTTATATTTTTATTATCTACAAAAGCTGGCGGTTTGGGGATCAATTTAACAACCGCGGATACCGTTATAATCCATGATATTGATTTTAACCCGTACAACGATAAACAGGCAGAGGATCGATGTCACCGAGTGGGTCAGAAAAGGTATGCAATTAAAATATAATAGTGCGAAAAATGTTCGATTCGTTTATAATAAGGGAGTAACTGTTTTTAGACCAGTTACTATAATTAGATTATTAAGTGAAGGTACTATAGAAGAAAATATGTATGAAATAGCGAAAGATAAACTGCATCTCGAACAACAAATTACTCGAAACGAAGGTAAGTGTCACGAATTTTTTCGTTTTGTCATTTTAACCATCGAAAATAAAATATGTTCATAGAAAACGAAAGCACGGACCGAAAGAGCGTATTGAAGTTACTTAAGATGACGTTAGGTTTGGATCACAATAAATCCTTGTCGTTGTCTTCGTCAAAGAACGCAAGAACGAGTAACGGAGTAGCGGACAACGAAGCGGATAGCGACATAGAATTTAAAAATTAATCTTCTACAACACATATTTTTTACTAGCAGAAAATTTGACATTTTTATATGTATCAGTAAACTTTGTGATAAAGTACAGCTACAATTGCACAAATGAAAGAGATCAGATTTGAAGAAATTTTAATCGCACGTCTTTTATTTAATGGTTATATGCGCGTACACAATTGTAATTTACGATATTTATGAATTATTAACTCAATTTATGTTTTATACATCACTTATTAAACCATTCATGTATTTGTACAAGTATATATTTAGAATCGTATATAATTTTTAATTCTTTGTGCTTGTGTCTACGTCCGAATATTTAATTATATATATTTTTAATGTAAATCTTAGGAAAATGGTTAAGACTGCGCAATACTTACTAGTAATATGGGAAAGAATAAAGACCTGAAAATGAACAACAAAAAACATGATGATAAAATAGAGCATAATACAAATGATACGTCGAAATACATATTTATTTGATATTACTGTACTGACATTCCTCAAGAGATTAGTTGATCAATGTACAAAACCATTAAAGGTATTACACTGCTCATCAGAGTTCATTTATTATATTGCAACTTTTCACAGACCAAATTGCACGATTATATAAATGAATTGAATTTTGTTTAATTCTGAATATTATTTTATTTCTTTTTAATTCATTAAAAATACAATGTACATAGACTGAAAAGAGAGGTTATCAGTTTTCTACCAGAATCAATGGATTCATTTTAGTACAGTAGAAAGCTACGTCTAATCTTTCTAGTCATTTATTTATCGCAATGCATTCAACCTTATTCGTATCTTAATACGTTATGATCGATTGTAATTTTGTGATACATATATACCATCCATCTGGGTGGCGTGGATTCGCAATTTGTTTTATAATACTCCCATCGAAACAAATTTCGCTTGCGTTCATTAAACTGATCTTGCTCGAGTAGTCATGTAAAGTATCTAGAGATTGGAATCCAAGATGTACCTGTAGAATGCTGCAGCTGTAGTTACGTGGAAAGAAAGGGAAATCCCGTGACGTCATTGAAATACCTTTCTACAGTTTCTACCTTCAACTACGTACATACGCACGCAATTACTTGTAAATGGCAAAACGCATTATTTCATACATTTTATGTTTATTATCTACAGCAATAGCAAAAAGACAAATTAGAATCACTTTTTGAACATTTTTCCCTGAATTTTGATTTATCTTACAGTAAAAGTACTTATTACATATATTATACGTAAAATAACGTAAGTAGACGTCGCGGTAAATTCTGTTTCTTTCATCTGGCTGTTTTCTGTTTCGATAATCCGTGACGTAAACCGAAAACCGCATATTACCATGATCGGAATCTAAAGTCGTAGAATGCAGTCGTCAGAAAGTTCAGAAAGCCTGGAAAATTCCCCTGACATTTCCTGAATAATCCTACTACCGCCAATCGACGCAAGTAATGCTAACTATTAGATGGAAATGTTTAACAATAATCGCACACAATAACCTGTAACCGTTGTTAAATTTATGCGACACGTTTTATACAATGTACTGGAACTGCAGTGTAACGAACTGTAACGAACATATGTATTTTGTTACTTTTCTTCGTAAAGATTACAGGTACTTGGCAAGATTTTTATCTCGCTTAAGAAAGCTTAAAAATAAATCAACTTCATCATTTCATTGACATTTTAGATTTAGAGGGTTTCCGTTCATCCTCATTTGCGGAAAGATTAACTTCTCTAACGATAATCACTTTTCCTTGTTATTAAGTTGTCGGTAATATCGATAACATTCGGCTGCCCGGGAAAAGATGTACGGTTGGTAATTTTACTTAACAGACATTGGTAAAGAAAAACCTATTGGAAGTTTCTCATTTATGTAGCAACTACTCATAAATAAGAATAGATGGAAGGTATTTGATTTGCGTCATACTGAGAAATATTTGTGGCTTTATAAAAAATCCTGTCCTCCTTCATTCTTTTAACTGAACCAGCTGTCGGGATTAATAGATACTTTCCTCTAAGGTTCTCGGAAATTTCCATACAATCTTCAACGATCTCGTTATCTAAACCTAAAATTAGCGATGCAATCAAGCCACAAAATTACATTTTATTAGGAAATTCGTAATAATAATTATACAAAATGGTAAACACGATTTAATATGCCCATAGTTTACACATAAATTGGGATTCGAGCAATACGTTGATACATTTAGAAAACTACTAGCGTTTATTCATTAGTATTGTTTGTCAGACGGATAAGTATTGTACGATCGATTTTATATCAACATATAATCGCGTAATCACTGATTACTAATCAGTCTGCAATAACCTCCCCCATATTTGTCTCCCCTCCACGCATTGCGGAGTTTCGTGCCCCTTAAAACTAGCAACCAGCAATGAATTTCCTGCAAAGAGGGTCGCGAATTAAAATACTGTATCGCAAAGGAAAACTCTCTTTGTTCTAATTATTATAGTGTCGTAGCAAGCTGGTACGATACGTCTGAAAATGATGTATCGAGCCAAAATAATACGTGCATTAAACGCCTTGGTGGCACCGTAAACACACGCGTGTTTTAATAACAATTGCGTTAAGTTTAGGTTCGTTTTCTCGTGCCCCATACCACAACAGTTTACCAGACTGAGAAACGCAGAGAAATATCGTTTCAATGAGTAATCGCAAAGTTTCAATGAAAATGTTATCGAATTACAAGTAGCTACTCCACTGTAGCTATTCGAATATTTATAAGAAAAAGACCTTATTATTTATGTTTCATGTTGGACGGTTTCTTCTACCTGCGATGCTTCTCGAGATGCTCATGAATATAGGTGTTCCATCCTGAACTTTGCAAATTGTCATTTGCAAATCACTTATCATCCCTTGAAGATGGATATCGATCGATAAAGAAAGATAGATAAGTAATATTTTTCCACGCTTTATCTGCATGTCAGGTTTCTCGAAAGTTGAAGCAATTGCAAATTTTTATGTTGTTCAGGTATATTTCATTTTTTGACCAATTTTATTGTCAGGAGATGCATTCTTATAAAGAAAGATGTTTTCAATGAAATGCAGAGAAGTAGGATTCTTCCCTAAACACGTTCGCGATATATGCGTAGTAAAAAGTTGTGTCGTTCTTCGCCGTATTGCGCTGTTGTATCGATTTAAAATTACGTTAGATGGTTATCAAGAATTATCACGTCTTTCGAAAAACAAGGGTTAGGATTTGGAATTTTTAACCGTTGATTAACATCGCTTAACTCGTTTTTAAAAAGTAATTCCACAACTATCTCATTGGCTTCGAACGGCACGTCTTATCGTATATTAATTTTACACGCGGTTTTCCTTAACCTATTAACTACTTTAGAGTCTATCTCAGTAATCCATCAAAGGAATACAGTGTTTTCTTATTTTCACTTTTTAAATACAGGTTATCAGGGAAAAATAAAGGAGTGTAAAATGAAAATGAGAAGACCGCATTTGCTTCGTTACAATTTTAAATTAAGTTTAAGTTTCACTTATTTATTAACTTAAGCAAAATGGTTGATAGTCGAGGGGTTCCAGCGGTGTCTGGGAATGAAACATCGAAATTTCTTATTATATTATTAACTATAGAAATTAACTCTGTGCTCTTATATTCACACATTTATTTCTTTTGTTATCAGAATACCACGCTCCTGAATTAAGTTCAAGTTTCACTTATTTATTTATCAGCTCAAGCAAAGCGGTTAATAGTCGAGGGGATCCAACGGTGTCTGGGAATGAAACATCGAAATTTTTTATTATATTATCAACTATAGAAATGAACTCTGTGCTCTTATATTTACGCAATTTATTTCTTTTGTTACCAGAATACCATCCTCCTGGATTCTCAAGACCTGATGGACCTGAGGTACGTGGCAATGTACCCACACACAAAGAATGTGTATCGGAGGGAAAATTAAAAAACAGCACAGTTCTTCTTTATCGTTGAATTTTCAAGTAAACGTTTCCCTAAGTTCGTTGGTCGTGTCTATCGGGGAATTACGAAAGGTAAAGTGTCTCTATGGCAAACCGGCTCGTGTTAGATTCCAATCTTGAGTAGGCTTCGTACGGTAGTCGAACCGCATCGTCGCATCCGAATCACGCCGTGAGTGACCAGCAAACGAAATGGCAAGAGTACGGTGTACGGTGTGTGCCACGATGGTATATAAACAATACTTGGCGCGAACCCTGATCAGTCGTATAGCGGCGGCCGTACCTGTCGCGACGGAATATAATGCACTGTATCACAACAAACTGAACGGAACCGGTTGTCCTTTTTCCGCATCTTTCGTTACTTCGCGTTCTCATTTACCTTAACCTTGTTCGCGCCCGTGACTCTTTTGTATCGACATTCGACGCAGCCCGACACAGAGTGAATATTCGCCTCTTTGTGAACAGAAGTGACCCCCTGCGATGTCGCACGACAATTTGGGATTTACATCGAGCACGGTTAGTGTGACATTGTACTTACGACGCTTACCTTTACTGTGTTTCGACGCTTTTCAACAGTGGCTCTTCTATAATTATCGTTCCAGAGGGCGGATCATTTCGTAGCGTTGATTTTTTCAATTTCTAGAATAGCGAGGCTATCATAAATTTCGTGAAATGAAAGTTACGCAGTGTTCGTACCGTATGATGGCAGATATTTATTAGTTATCTTAGATGTTGGCTTCGGTAGCTTTATACTACATTTCCTCATATTTGAAACTTCATCGTCTACTGTTTACATGGTGTACGACATCGTGAATCGTTTAGCGAGAATTAACTGATATTTGAACGATCTTAAGCTTGGCGATATTATATTTCGTTACATTAATTACCGATACAGGAATACCTGTCGAAATTATATGTATGTATTTTCTTTCCTCCACGCGTTTTTTTTATTTTTATATATATTTTATTTTCGTTGCTAGATTAATTTTAGTTTCCTTTCATTCGCGTAATCCGAATACGACCTCGTCGGAAGATTGGAGGTGTTTATTTTACCCCGTGCCCAGTTAGGTATACATTGTTCAGGTTACCGATAATGGTTATCGTTTATCAACGTTATATTTCGTCTAACTTGATACGTAGTTACGTCACCGAGTTAATCGCCAATAATTAAATTTCGTTTCGACTAAATATCAAAGTAGAACAATAAACAACGTCGAATCGAATCGTTCGTATGAATGTAATTTCTTTGACCGATCACGTTTGCTTTGTAAATAAATCTTAGGTTATCCGTATTTACGTAACGTCTGGAAACGTGATCGAACGCTAGATCGAAGGTAGCGTAGAAAAAAATTAATTGAATTTCCGATCGGCAAGCGTAGTTTCAATCAACTCGCAAGCAAATTCCAGTTTTCCTTCGTTCGGCTCGTATCGATACGAATTACGCAACACGGATGCGATAAAGGTCCATTCGACTTCCGGTAATCGAACTCTTTCGGCGCGTACGCCGCAGTTTTACGATACGCCGCGCACTTCGCTGTTATTTTCTTTAGAGAGCGAACTTTAATCGTGGAAGAGTGCGAGGCGGTTTCTTAAAACCAAACTCCGTAGACAGAAGTCATTTTCGTCTCGTTGCCAATTCGTCCGGTACACGCGAATAGCGCTTTTAAAAGTATGTATAGATTCGTTTAATCATTCGTAGACACTGCGACAACAGAGTTCCGTATCCTTGAGCACACAACGAAATTCAATGTAAACAAATACTTTGAAGAGTCGTTAACTCGAAAATCGCGACTAGTCGTAACGGATTCTTTGCGCAAATATCATCTAGTCTCATTAATAACGAGCCATTATTGATATTGTGTAGAATTTTGATACATCCAGCTGTGCGCGCACACGTGCAATCAAGGAAGTTCGTTTAACCTACATTTCCGCGTAATCGAATATCGCCCATCCGTTCCGAAATAGGTAATTAACACTCGATCAGGGCTACCTGTATCGATTCGATCTGCACTTCGTAAGTCGAACCCACGATGATTTTCAGTCAATTTTCAACGCGAGACAATGTTGCGCGATAGTCTCGCAATCGCTGCGAAGTTGATCGATCGCAACTACATATCGCGTATCGCAGGGAAGGGAAAGTCTGTTGACCGAACGAAAAATTCTGGCGCGTTTGAAGGACGATATTGTATGAAACTGCGTACCATGCGGCGCCAATAATCGCTAGTATAGGAAATTTACGGTTTTAATCGAATCAAGTTTTGTTCTCGAAAGGGATACTTCTCGAATTTCGAGTCTTCGATTTTTGAGATCGGAGAGGTCTATGTAGTGTTCCGATAAAGTATCAGGCTGTTCAAAAATAATAAAGATGGAGAATATAGGCTATAGTCATTGGTCGATGTAACGATTAATTTACGCGCTTTCACGTAATAAGTAGAAAAGTTTTCGGAAACTCGCGTTAGGGTAAATTGTGTACAGAAAATGATGAGGAATTCTTTAACCGTCACTTGCGAAATGCAAAGTGCTTTAAATTATGTTTAACATTGACAGCTTAGTCACAAATGAACAGATAAAAATTATTTTTAGTTTTCTCGGTTACTGGACGATTGTCGTTATCAGCCCGAACACAGTATCAAAATTATACCCTTCGTGGTGATTCCCTCGTGTTCGTGTTTTGTTCTTTTTAAAAAATATTCTCGAAAGTTTGAGAACAACGAAGACAGAAGCGTCAGGAACTTCGTATTCGTTTAGAAAATTTGAATGCAATATACGAAAGGGTGTGCAAAGAAATCATTGCAAGATGTGTTTCAATTCCAGAAACGTTTAATTTAAAAAATTCGAAATTTAAAGTTAACGTTCCACGTTCGTCCATACGCAGTAACGAGTCAAATAGGAACATTAATGGTAGGGTGCGGAATGGTCCAGTGGGTAGAAACGTCGACGCATGATCCGAAAGTCCCGAGTTCGAATCCCCTCGTGACCCGTATCATATTTTTCAAAGGATTCTTACGTTATTCGTATCCTTCGCACGAATATAATATCTACACGAACTTTAATAAGATCGTTTGTAAGGACTACAAATCCGCATCACGTGATCGAGACAGATCTCGCGTTACCGACCGTGCTTGATCCTCGAACGCGGGAAATTTGAACGCATCGCGTATTCATTCGCGGACTCTCGGCGAGAAAAGCACCAGGATTTTCTATGAAACGATCAATAATCCATTTTCTGTCTTCAGGAAATTCACCTTGGCATCGAAAACGTATCTGGTGAAAAATAATTGCCCTCAATAACGATACTAGCCGCGATATCAAATGTTTGTAATGCGTTCCCCTTTGCGTTGTCTTGTTTTCGAAGATCGTGCTACCTGATAATGGCTCGAGCACACACTGAGGCCGTCTTAAAGTCGTGGAACTTTTTAGGGTACACCCGATAACGGGCTGGAAATTTTTCATCCGAAAGGGAGGACCCAACGATTCGATCCGCGAATCTTCTTTTACGGGGGTATCTGTTCTTGTCGAAGCAATTCAATGAAATCGACGAATCAACAATAAGCATCGCGAATCCATCAGCTCCGATACCCAGATAAACTTATTTCGAGTGTGGGTGTTAACCATTGACTGAATATTCATTAACTAATCGCTCATTACCGAGGAACGTGATTAACGAATGTTTTACGAATGAGTTCAATCGGCCCAGATCGATCTCTGCGATAAGATGTAACGTTCTCGACTGCGAAGCTCTCATGATTTCGAAGCAATAAATTGTTTCTCTAGTATAATAAATTTACAAGATATTTTAAGAACGAATTTTTGCAAGAAGGAAGGGAATGATGATTGGATTAAACAGTTTATATGATCAGAGTTTATTGGTATCCGAGGGCTTAAAAGATGTTTAAGTATTTTCTATTATAGAAGCTACTGCTTCTAGTCGATAAGATAATACGTTTTATTTTCTACACGAAGAATAATAAAAAAGATATGATCCTCTTCTTAGTTTCATTGGGTGTAGAAATTAATCCTGCGCCTTTTCGAACTAGACTTATCGACAAATATGCTTAAACATTCTTCGAGGAAGTGTCGTATATCTTTATTTTTAGTACGCCGATCCTATCAGCAAAAACGTGTAATTGTAGAAGAAGCAAAGGTATTCAATTTCTTCGGAAGATCGTTCGTCTCTTTCCATTTAAATACTCGGAGGTAGTCTCTGAAATAGAAACCGTATTATAAAAATATAAAAAAAAAAAAAAAAAACTCGAATTAAACTGGAAATAAAATTGTAACAGAGATTAAAAGAAAAATGCTTCGAGTGTAACGAAGGAAAAAGTTACGAAGTCGTTCTACTTGAAACATTCTCTTTTATCATTCGCTCTTAATATCGTTGTAGTGTTTGCCGTGGCTCTTCAGTTATCGCAAACGTTACCTGTTAGAAAGCGCGATAGATCTTGGATGTTCTCGAAGTTCCCTCGGTTACGAGTTAGAAAACACGGGTAATTCGGTTAGACAGTCGTTGATTTTTGATACAATCGAACATTCCAGCCTTGTCTCGGTACAATGTTCACGTACTCCCACGCACTTGCTAACCAGGTATTTCGGCGTTAATAAAAAGGCTCGTTCGTCGAGTTTATCTTGCTGATAACGGTGATGGCATTCGTCGACGATTACGTCAATTGGATTGTCTTTTCGACTGATACATTTTCGCTCCTATTACGGTAATACGTTAGAACCAAATGAAGAGAATATGCAAATTCATGAAAATGACGGTGATTGTTAGTAAACTTACAAAGAAAGTAACGCAACATTTTTCAACAATACGTTAGAATAGGAATCGGTATTAGAATTCTTTAATATTTCTTACCGCGTGTTCTATCGTATTATTTTTGTCTGTTTCGATATTTTTCCTTTACTTTCAATCAACAATTTTGTATCCACATTTTGAGTATCCATATTTGACTGAAAATGAGAGCTGTTTGAATAATATTACCCAAAAACGTTCACCAACGTTTCGCAACAACAGTGACGGATGGCTTTTGCAATTAATGGGAAGCGAATATCGATTGTTAAGAAGAGCAATCGAGATTTGTCTGCAATTCACCGGTCAGACACCGTGAAATAACTTTCTATTTGGTTGGCCAATTCCTGATATTTTATTATTCGCAAGAAACGCAGCACGCTTCGTCGCCCTTTTTCTTGGGCAACAAACAAATCGCCTCGAAGGCTCGCCACTTCATTAGAAAGTACGCATAAACGATTTTTAAACAGAACGTACCCGAGTAAAATCACTCTAACTAACAGAAAACGCAGAAACAGTCCACGTACTCGCGTGGATAATAGATTCATCGCGTTTGTAACTCCATTACGTTCCCGTTGCGCAGTCATTTGTGCCATTGCAAGACAATTTTCGAATGCTTCTCTTTAAAACTGTACAATTGTTCATTTTCCAACAGTTTCAATGGCATATTTCTAATCAGTAAAATTGCTTTGCTAGAAAAGTTGTCGCAGAGTTAAGCCAAGTGCATTCCAAGCATAGATAAAAGATGTTTTAGCATAAAATTCCCATATTTCTGCTGCTACGTAGAATAAGGCGAATTACATTCGATAAGTTATGTTTAGCTGTTCGCTTTAAAAGTCTACCACTAATAGCTGGAACGTGCTTCTGCTTTTCGAAAGAGTTTACCGAACGTGTGACATCAGAAATTGGAAAAAAAAAAAATAATTACTAAAATAACGGTAGGAAATCGGTGAATTTATCAGATGTAGAAATGATTGAAACTGGAGTTGTAAATGATCGAATGTAAAGGCACAGAAATATTGTTTGTTTACAGTATTAATCAGCGTGCCTGGCTATTTCTATAGCAAACACGGGAACATTATTTTGTCCTCTTGGATGCCAATCAATTAGATTCTATTTTCGCTCGCTGAAAGACTCTATTGGCTCGCGCAGGAATTAGAATCCGCGACGCAGAGAATATTGTTCCAGGAAGACCGTGGCTCGTTTCGCGAGATTTCCGGTTCGCTGGTATCATAGACAGCGATTACTTGATGTTAAAATTGCTAGATGTCCTCCTCTCGCGTTTCTCGGCTGATCTAATTAAGCCTTGGCGTAACGCGTCACTTTTGACACGACGTCTTTAAGCGACGAATATACACCTTGAAACACCAGCTCTCCTTTTCTCCGAGAAAATAAACGACGTTCAGACGTTTATTAGGTGACCAGTCCCAAAGACGTGGTGGGGATAGCCACGCGACACTTAGGCAACATTCGCTGTTTATGGTCATCGATTCCGACCTTTTGCGATGCTTACGAAAATATTCTTTCCATCGGGAAGCTTCTCGATAGCAAATTGGAACGAGAGATCGGAGATTCGAGACTCGCGATATTTGTTCGGTGGCAGAGCAAAGATCAACCGCGCTGATACGAGGATTATCCTGCAGCTTTCGACGACTTACGGCAAAGGAAAAATGGGAATTAAAAGCTCTCAAGGTGGTTTTAGTTTATACGCGACTTCAATCGAATTCTCGCTTATCGAGGGAGATGAAAAATCGTTTGATTTTTATTGTAATCCTAATTCGAGTTATCATGTGTGTCAACCGAACGCCTATGTTTTGAGGTATTCGCCCGTTACTCGTTCGATTCAACGGTTCGACGAGCTTTTGGCAAACAGTCTAGGAAACCACGACCGTGTTTAACGCGCGCGTTAACGCTTATTTCATAATTGTCGACTTCTTTTTTTTTTTTTGTCGTCGCACAATGTCCCGTCATCTTTTCCACGAACAAAACAATAACAGACAGTGTTTTCGGTCTTGTCTGATTCTCGCAAAGTGACCGAAAGTTTACACAGTTTGCACGAACGATTTAATAACCGGCGATGTATAAGTTATACAATTAAATTCCTGGAATTCGGATTCGTTGTTTAATATTGTTTCGCTTGAAATAATAGGAAGATAGAAAGACAAAAGAGAAAAATAATACAGAGATTAAATACGTGATTCGCTACGCACGATATACGAAGCAAAGTTCAACGAAATAAATGTTCAACGTACAGAGTTTACAAGTACGGAAACTTTGTCCAACAGTCAGGAATATCGTCGATGAGCGATTAATAACAATAATGACTAGGTCAAGCGTCGGTTATATAAGAGATTAGTAACAGCAATAATTTAATTCGTTTGTCAGCGATTAACAGGTCTCAATGACATCGACTTTGTCATTGGGAATCGTTAATCATCGAGGCGCAGCGTAAATTAAATTATTACGTGGATGGAATACCGAAGTAGCACGGTTCGTTCTTTATATTTACGTCTAGGTAAATACGTTTCTTTGAATTTGATAATTAATTCCGTTTCTAGAGAGTTACCTTGATTCATCCTGTTTGGAATTCCTTCGTGACATTCCCGTCATTGCCGATAAATGACAGTGTAACGCGGATGTTTGCGAAAATTGTATCTTTCGTGGAAAAGAGAAACACGATACGGAACATACTCATGGATTCCAGGATATTTCGCTCGGATCGATAAGGATTGCCATCGATCGTGCTTCAACATTTGAATCGTTCTCTTATTAATAACATTTACAATTCGAGTATTTTGTCTGAAATTCGTGACTGGATTATCGTCTCAAGAACGTTCTTTATCGAGGTGTCGAGAGAAGGTGTTCGAACCTTTTCGCTAATTATACGTTGCAAACAGTTCGACGTAGCAGTGTCGCGCCAGTAGATACAGACGCTCTTGATCGGCCAGACGGAGCTATACTTTGCATGTTCAGTGATGCGGCAGTACCATCTGTCTGGCAGAATAGTCGAGGAGCATTTCGTTGAAAATTCAAACTACATACACGGTCCCATAAAAATAATGTCTCGCGACTTTTCTCATGTCAGCGTCAATTTTCACAAAATTTTATCATTCCCACGCGTCTATATTTAATTATCGATAATCACGGAAACTTCTATAAATATATACGTCCCGAGATAACAATTTTTTCCACGATGAAAAAAAAAAAAAAAGCTCCGGAAGCGACGCCCTGTAAAAATAGAAAGATTCACAAGCAATTATTCCCTCAGTTATCGATAGCGCTCGATAATTACTGCAATAAAGCGAACGATCGTTTCTCCGAACGTCATAAACAGATCGACTGGCTCGGTAGCCTCGCCACGTGCGGCCAGGTGATCTCCTTCGGTCGTCGTTCTTTCTTTTTTTTATCGTACCGACAATTTTCACGCGATAACCACCGTTAAATCTCGATAACGTTGGGGTTTACGACACGCGTCTACGGATCTCTGTAAACGGAAAATCCCATTTGTGGCGGGGAACAGAGGGAGCTTGGGACCGCCAGCTGCGGAGATGGAAATATTTGCTCGTATGAGATCACTGCGCGACGGATCTTTCATAACACTTTCGCGGCTCGATTGTACAGAGCGCGTGGCGCAATAATAGTTTACTACGGCAATAAAAATATCGAAATTGGCCGTCAATGCCGTTTAATCGATCGTCGGCATCCGACTCGTCTCGATACAGGACGCGCAAAATGTTCCTGAACACGTGTTTAACGGTCATTTTATTTCAAGGGAACACGTGAAAGAGTTCCGTTGTTGATTCGCTGCGTTTTGAAGAATCGAACATACATGAGGTGGGTGTAGGAATTAATTCCGGACCTTTCTCTGGTGAATTACCATTTATTTGGAAGGTTAATAATTTAACGTAAGAAAATGCCGTGTAAATATCCTTATTTAATCTACACTTGTAAACAATCGAATGTAAAGGAACGGGATCAATTTCCGCGGGTAATTTCTATATTTGGAACGACTCGATTTCGCGAGAACAGGTGAATTAAAGGAAAGTCGAGCATCGAGGGCGATGTATGTCGTATACATTCGCGGAGTTTTAGTATCCTCGAATTAGTTTCTCCCATCACGTATGTATACACGTCGCGAGCACGTTCCTATCGACAGGCAATCTTGTGGCTCGCTCGTAATCATCGGTATGCTTGGTTTAGCGCTCATCATTCCGGTTACCATTCATCTTCGACCGTGAATCGCGGCCTGACAAAGAGTTTTTCCGATGGCGATGGCCACGGAGGATCGTGTTTGCGTCTCTATTCCAACGCGCCGTGCCTCGTTCGCTGATTTTTATCAGTCGCAGGATACGCGTTCCGTCGTCCGTCAAATGGAAGTTAATCTTCGACGGGGTAATTTAATGCGTTTGCGTTAATGAGGCAATCGTACGCGCGAATCGTGAAATTTATTAGACGGAAAAAGAGAAACGCGAGACATCCTCCTTTTCAGCGTCGAATTGGAGAGTAATTGATGAGTCGTTTATCAGAGGACGAACATAATTAACGATCGTATTGTGTAAGAGGTTGAATTTAATACGCAGATAGTCGACGCGAGAATTGTGTTGTAGGATTGTATTGTAGGTACTTGGAAACGTTTTATAGAAAATGAAACTGTAGTTCAAATGTTATTTATACAAAAAATATATATATATATATATATATATATATATATATATATATATATATATACAAGTTACTAATAGACTATTTCTTTTTTTTTGCAGAATGTTCTGGACGCCAAGAAATGGACTGCGTCGACCAAGAGTCAAAATGGGTACGGTATTTTTTAACAAAATAGCATCGTTTTTTGTTTTTTTTTTTATATTATGTCGGAAATAATATGCAATTAGCGTAGTAATATTTAGCGATCGCTAATCCTCGAATTGAATTTCAGTTTCGAGCCAGGACGCAACCGAGGGAACGTCTACGTCCTAGAGCTCGAGGACAAGAACAAGAAGAGCGTGCAGGTGTACGAGGAAGACTACGATCCGTATAATCACAGAGAGGTCGAGCATCCCACGACGTGAGTTTCAAATTAATCTCTCGTTCTACCTATCTCCTCCTTGAATACACCAATTTCTTCATTTCCCCTTTTCCTTTGCTTTCCTCGGATATCCACCGGCGTAACCATCCCTCGAAATAAAACATAAAAATGTAAACCCGATACATTCGCGAGGATTTGCATAATGACGTACGCTGCACGCATGCGAGACGGCCTATCGTTTATTCCGACCGCGTTTCTCTGGACACAAATTACACGGTAATTCGTCGCGGCGATTAGTCATGAAGCGGAAGAGTAAGATTGTCCTCCGTGAAACCGCCGTCGGTTCGAGAAACCGCGGAGACTAGCGTTATCGTCACGGAATGATAATAAAATGTCACGATGCGCGGAGGAAGGTGTCCAAAAACGGGCTACCGCTTTCGTTTGGTACCTGCTAGTCTACCTGTACTTAGACGCTAGCACGTTTTTGGACCTCTACTGGAATCATGCTCTACTGGAATCGTGCTATTGGAAACCTCCGAGGAATCGTACACGTTTACAAATTTTACGCTCCGATAAGTTCGTCGTGTGTCATTTGGTAAAGTTGATAAAGTTTGCTAGATTCGCGATGTCTCCTCGGGAGAGACATCCGAGTGCAAAGGGTTAATTGGTCCTCGACGACGATCGTTTCAGGAGCGCCGAGACGTTGCTCCACTTGCTGAAGGGCAGTTTGGGTACGGGAATCCTCGCGATGCCTAGAGCTTTTCACAACTCGGGCTACGCTGTTGGTATAGTGGCCACCATAATCATAGGTCTGCTCTGTACTTACTGCATACGAATTCTCGTCACCTCGCAATACGAGCTCAGCAAAAGGAAAAGGGTTCCGTCGCTGACCTACCCTGCGACAGCGGAAGCTGCCCTCATGGAGGGCCCAGCGCCCTTCAGGTGTTGCGCCAAAGCCTCTGTGTAAGTCCGTCGAATATATATTTTTATAATTCTTTTAAATATCCGATACAGCATATTCACGAGATATGGGTTTGTTTACAGACACGTAATAAACGTGTTCCTGATGATATACCAATTGGGGAGCTGCTGCGTGTACACCGTATTCATCGCCACGAACTTGAAGATGGTGAGTACAATTGCTTAATCAATGGTTCTGTTGTAGAACAATCCCAGAACTCGTCCTAGAACTTTAATCTACAGAGAAAGTGTTAAAAATTGAACGCAATTGCTGTATTTAGAGACAGAGAAGATGTTATTAGATACATCTGTTTGTACACAATGTTTTAGTCTTCCTTCCCCATCATTGTATCCCATCGGGTCGCTACCTCTCCTATTGAACTCGTTCGATAATTATTCCTCACCGTTATGCGAGAACTCCACATAGCAGAACGTCGGAATAGAGCGCACGAATAAAGAAGACTCGTACAATAAAGGTTCCAGCAGAAAATGATCGCTAAGATGCATTCCTCCAGATTCTTTAGGTCACTTTCGTGATTAGTAGTACAGTCGTCGGCATTTATTTGTTCAATCCGTCGCAAGAACAACCTCGCTGCTCTTATTAACCGCGTTAATCCGGTTTTTACCGCGAAAGAGACCCACTCGAACGACCGCGGCTGTAGACCGTGTGGGCAGAGGAAAAGGAGCATGTAGGTCAGGGAAACACGCGGCGCGAGGAATAAACGATTAGACGGCGCAACGAACGCCAAGCGATGCCAAGTCAAGGTGATGATACGCGTACACGGCCAGGTTCGTTGACATTTCGCCAGGGGGAGGATGTGACCGTCCGTTGAAGACTTATTTACGAGGACGCTAGCCGTTTCGGTCGTCGTCACGACCACAGTCTACTAAATATCCACTGAATACTAAGCTACGACCGTGAGCCACCTCGGAAACGGCCACAGGTACTTCCTTCAAGCTCGATCGCAGCTTTGGACCACCGTTTTCTGTTAGAAGAAGCATATTTCCTCTCGAAGTCTCTCCTAGGTCCGCGATAGCTGCTAGAAGCATGTGTGTATTCCACGTTTGCAAATTGTATCGATGACAGGACAATATTCGAGACGGAGAATTTTTGTATAATTTATCGAAGCTTTCGAATCTCAAAAGAGTGTCGAATCCCATGCGTGAGGTTATACGTTAACCCTTAAATGCCCTAAGTTTCAAATTTGAGACCGGACTTTTAAATCATATTATAATTGATTCGTTTTCAATATTTGGCTGTATGTGTGTTACCATTGCATAACGTTCTGTTGAAACAAATTTAAAAAAATAAACGTCAACTGTTGAAATTGTTCAAATAGTAGATACATTGATATTTTTTGAAAATTTAATTTGGAATATCGAGCTTCTAAGGGTTAATATCACATTTCTGCGAGAAGGATACAAAAGACGAGGTAAGACTGAGAAATGTTACAATTCGTACCGCCGTTATTTGCAGCGAATTATGGCAAGTTTCTAAACTTTGCGAAGGTATTGAGTCAGAGATACGCTTACTTTTTCACAATTATTTCTGTATGAGTCACGAGTTACGCGTTGGTCAACCGTCCACGGAAACTGGCGAGGACCAACCAGCGAATGATTCATCGAAATTTCGTTGTTTCGAAAATGAAGAAGGAAACCAAAATTCTGCACGAAGTACTTGATATTCAGTGCATCGTGCAGTGTCTTCAAAGAACAAAGAACCGCCTATTGGAGAATCGGAAGGACTCGCGCGACTTGCCATAAATCTCGAGGAAAAGGTCGTTTCTAGTCGCTCGAGTCGGCTTCGTTTCGCTCGGATGTCCCTCAACAGCGAATGATCGTTCCAGGGAATTATGCTCGCGTTGGTTCAACCCGCTCCACCGTGTCGATTTTCACCTAGAAACGAGTCCTTGTGGATGCAAATTATTACAGACGAGTTGAGCTCAACTGTAAAGACTGTCAAGCTCAGTTCATGGTAAACATTTACATTTCAATTCGCTTCCGACGTGAATATCAACGTTAAAACTACCAAGCCAAGTACTCGAAATTGTTGTCTCAAGCCTCTCGATTATATATTTAGACATTTGAGGTGTCTACATTTGAGACAACCGATCTGTAACCAACGCAAGCATAGTATAGAAATGATTGGTAGAGAGTTAATTGCTATTATCTGTTCGTTTGCTTTAGTCGTGGTAATCGATTACATAATTGATGGTACGCGTAATTATGCACGAGGAAAATAGCTGACAAACCGGGAGCCAACCAGTTTGGAAACTGGACGAAGAGGACCGTGTCAGCGTCGGTTCAGCCAGGCGTTGGAACGCGTGGCGTACTACGCAATGTAATGGATAGTTAGCGGCACAGTTACGACACCTGTTATTACGCCAAAGCGGATAGAGAATGTGGATGCAACTGTTCGCGAAAACCTGAATCCAGTAAAGTGAACGCGAGGGAACGTATCGATCCTCTGAGACTTTTACGAGAGGACCATGACCCCCCTCCTGCTCGCTCGACAATGTTGATTCTGATTCATTGGCGCGTTTAGAAGCAGAAGAACACTCGTTCGACGAGTTTCTAGACGCTGAACGACCGAGGCCTGTGTTTACTTTCATAGAAATTCTTTCGTGCAATTTTATTTAATGTAGGATCCGTTCCAGGTCTCAAGCATAGCTTTTGTGAACATTTGTATGAGGCTGAAATTTTGATATGATTGGAAACAATATACTCTAAGATTTGTCACGGTATTTGTCGTTACAACCTTATCGGAATTTAGAAATCTTGTCCAGATTTATTTTCTTCGTTGAATAAGTTTGTTAAATTCCTTGTGAACATCCACGGCAAGAATTCACCCATTCAATTTACATAAATAATTGAAGGATATAGAAAAGAAGAAAAAGGTGCAGTAACACGTGATAACACGTGATAACATGTTGACGATAATGACGCAAGGTGTTCAGTTGATCAAATTATACGGTTCCCAATTCCCCCAAGGCGATTAAATGTCAATCACGTTTGCCCGCGTGTAATTTCCAACGCAAAAAGAATCACAGGGATGATTTCCCAGTCTATGAAGGTGGTCCACGCTGCCGCACTGTAATATTTTCGTCTCGTTGCATAACCGCACGCGCGCTGACCGATTCGAATCGGTTCGATCTGGTTATGACGGGAAAGGAGGTGTAATTTTGTGTGGGTGTGTGTGTGTGTGCGTGTGTATGACGCAAAAAGTTTCATGCTCGGAACAATTTTTCCGGCCAGGAAACATGGTCGTTCGTACGAACAGAAGTCGAACCGGTTTCACGTCGAATCGTGATGACGAACATCTTTGATCGATTGTTATTCGATGGAAAGAACCGGTCCTTAAATCACAGAAGCTTAGAATTTCGTCTCTATTTGTCTCCAGTATAACTTTCTTAATTGTGTATATTTTTCTAGAGACTTGGGTTCATTCTACAGCCGAACGATCGGTACCGAGGCTACCAAGAAAAGAATCTTTATTTTACTCTATATTCGAATCTCTCTATTCCCGAAAGAAAACTTGTACGTTTTTCAAAAGAGAAGCGATCGAAAATCGGCATTCTACAGGAACGTAAAAACGGTCGCGTCGTAATTGAAGTTACCGCAGCAACAAACAGTGGAAAGCAATGCCACACCTCGTGAATTTCATTAACGTCGTCGTTGCTCGTTTCAAGACTAACACGATTCTAGACACGATCGTGTTTCTTCCACCAACTGCCCTTGTAATCCGATTAAGGTGTTCTGCCCTCTTAATCGTGCATCCTGTGCCGTAGCGTGAATCAGAATAGAGAGAGTGAACGATCCATCACGGTCGTAGCGTCAATTAAAAATGAGATATACCGAAAATGGGATGTCTGAAGACGGTCTAGACAGCTAAAGAGGCGTTTCGAAGCGGTTGGCTTCTCCATTTGGCATGTCATCGACGATGACGAACGCCTTTATCATCGACAGCTTAACGGAGATTTAACGAAACGTTTCGTCGATCGATTATTTGCAACATTCGACGGTTCGAATGTGCTGTTCCGTCGGTGACGTGACTATGTTCTCTGTATTAGCACTACTTCGACACAGTACTACCATCGACGCGATAATTCAACAACACTAGATTTACAAAGCACGATCATTTCGACTCGTTCGATATCGTAGAGATAATAATATTCATAATATTGTGGAGAGTCAAATAAGAATACGAAACGTAGAGTACGGGATTGGTCGCATAGACAAAGCGGTCGACTGTGGATCCAAGGATCGTTATTTCCTTTAGACTCCTACGATGTCATATGCATAGTCTTGAAATATAAACGCGATCAAAGAGTTTTCAGAAAGCAACCTACAAAGAAAGAAAAAAAAGGAAAGCACGTAATGCAGCAAAGATACTGTGAAAGTTTGTGAACCTAGAGTTAAACCTCCCTTAACCTTCCTTAACTTACGTTCACCGCGTTACTACATCGATCGTATTACGTCCGATGCGTGCAGAATCTACTGGTCCATCGACTGTTACGTCGAGCGTGGTATTACGTTGGTGGTAGTACGTCGAGCGAGTTATTACGTCGACCCTGCTACGTCGAGGCTATTATCAAGTTTTACTGTTGTCTATGGTGGCGCGTGGAGCATAACAATAGCCGACACGTAGAGCAACCACGTCCATCACGGAGCACGTTGTTACGTACCTGGTCGCACAGAACGCTCCGCGAGGCGCGTTCGCGTTTAATCAGCATAATCTGACTAGAATTGCATCGTACGAAACGCATTACGTGAGCCGCGTTTTATACACGATTAACGAAACCGTGGAATTACGTCGCGGTCGTGTGCGCCAGGCTGATCGACGCGTGATTAAACGCGCTCCCAATACGGTTAGGCGGTTTTCCGTACGCCCTTCGCCTCGAGGAAAGCGAATTGAGAGGTGGCTTGCAGCAGGATTTCGATATGCGTGTCGAATACTTCATTCTTAACGTACTCGCGACGCAAACGATGGCGTACCACGTCGGTGTAATTTAATTAGATTCCAGATTCTTTTTTCTTTTCTAGCGACTAGTCGCTTGGAGGCAATTTCTTCAATTTTATCTGAAAGATAGAAGCGTCCTTTTCCCGCAGACGAATTGTTCAAGGATTGATAGGCACGATAGGATACAAAAAAAAAAAAAAAAAAAAAAAAAAATTACAAACGCTCGCGCTTCAGAGATTACGTCACATTTACGTAACGACAAAGCCTGAGTGCAGCTAGATCGTAAATGGTACGCGTTAAAATATGTCTCGGTTCATTTCCGGCCGTCCTTGAATTAGGCGTATAACGGAGACGATATCGATGATCTCTCGAGGTCGATAAAGATCGTTTAGGCTGTTGTTAGCGACGTGACTAGTTCCTCGAGCGATTCGTTGAGCTAGGCGGAAAATCTTCTCGTTCGCTTCGTAAATGTCGTCTTGATTTCGTTCGAGTTAATGTTACATTAAGTTCCACTTTCGATAGTAAGCGACACTTACATTCGAATGACGCAAGACAGTTGAAACTTTAATCCGTTTTCACTTTTAGGATAATTACCTTTTACCCTGAATTTAATTTCTACGATAAATGACACGCGTCCCTCTGAATTGCAGGCATTGGATTCTTATCTACCCGAGATCGACTTGAGATTGTACATGCTGGCGATCCTGTTGCCCCTGATCCTCGTCAATTGGATCAGGAACCTCAAGTTCTTGGCTCCGTGCTCGACGATCGCGAACGGCATCACGTTCGCCAGTTTCGGTATAATATTGTATTATATCTTCAGAGAGCCATTGTCCTTCGAAGATCGCCAGCCGATCGGGAACGTTCAGGACTTCCCGCTCTATTTTGGCACCGTGCTCTTCGCTCTCGAGGCCATAGGCGTGGTGACTAATTTACAACTGACTTACAACTATCAGAAATTATTCCCGAGGAATAGTTTCGGTCCTTGAAATTATTCCAAGTAGCTAAGAGTGATCGTAACGTTGTCAACCATTGATTTCAGATAATGCCACTGGAGAACGAGATGAAGGCACCGAAGAACTTCATCAAGTCCTTCGGGGTGCTCAACATTGGAATGGGCGCCATCGTAGTTCTGTACACCGCTATAGGATTCTTTGGATACATACGTTACGGTAGCGCTATTCAAGGCAGCATTACCTTCAGCCTGAACGAGCCTCTGCCGCTCGCGAAGAGCGTCCAGATCCTCCTGGCGGTGGCCATCTTCTTCACGCATCCCATCCAGTGCTACGTGGCCATCGACATCGTCTGGAACGAATACATGGCGCCGATGATGGAGAAGAACTCGCACAAACTCTTGTGGGAGTACGTCGTCAGGACCGTCCTAGTCCTTGTCACGTGTAAGTGAATCCACATTCGTCACATATGGGAATGTTCATTTAGGGATGAAACAAATTCATTCTAAAAGTGAGGTGTTAGCAAAAATTAAACTGGATAGGATTGGTAAATTCTAAAGGTGTCACAAAAATAAATACCACCACGAATATCGGATCACACCATTTCTAATAGGTACAGAAAAATAATTTAGTCCTATAAGAATTCTCGCGATTGTTACTCTAACAGTTAACGCGATACCAAGTTTCTCATCTTGCCTTTTTCAGTCTTGCTGGCCATAGCAATCCCGCAGTTGGAACTCTTCATCTCCCTGTTCGGTGCTCTGTGCCTGTCCGGGCTGGGTCTAGCTTTTCCAGCGATTATTCAGACCTGCACGTTCTGGAACGTGCACGATCGCACGGAGAGGATGCTGATGGTGGCGAAGAACATGTCGCTGGTCCTGTTCGGGCTGCTGGGCCTGGTAATCGGAACGTACACGAGCCTCCGTGACATCATCGCGAGCTTCTCTTGAGGTACTCGTCCGCGCAAGTCGACGAGGAGATCACGAATGGCGGTGATCGTGAACGAGGCGAAGAAAATATTAGGATAGGCGTTGCTCCCCCGAGGAAGAACGCGGCAATGTGATATATAGCGAGGACTCGTCACCGCAAGAGTACCTAACGAATGGGTCTGGATTCTTCGGACGAAGATCTTGCTCCCTTCGAGGACGTATTTCATAAATACGCCTCGCGTCGTGCGATATGGGACGAGCTGGGTCCCGTTTCGAGAGCAGAGGAAGAGGAAGAGGACGACGGGCCAACGTGCGCGTCACGATCGGCGAATTCTGGAGATGATGTTTCAACGAAGTCAAGTTCGCCTACTGACAAGGAACTGTTTTTATCCGTTTGTTACAGCCGTGATTTGGATTGGAATCATGGGATCAAGGGATTGGCACTCGGATGAAATGCGAGCGAGCTATCGATGTATCTTGATTGGTTTAGAACGAAGGAATTAAGTCATCTATTCATGTACATAGACAACGTCGTAGCGGAATCAAGATAGAACCACGCCTAGAACGTTGTGCTCCAGCAATAATGTCTGTCCAATCTTTGGACTAAACGAGAACTTTTATTATTCTTGTCCATCGTTCGAGCTTTCAGTTCGACAATGCGCGACGCGCGTTTCACGAGATCGTCGTACACTTTATCGATACTTTGCCACGGGCAATGGGTCAGATACTCGCAATCATCTCAACCTAAGATAGTCAGTACCATTCACCATTACGTTAATTTTAATAAAATGATCTGTTTAGTGTTTTATATAGACACGTAGCACGTGACTACAAGCGAAACCCATCTGTATCCCGAAATCACACAATCCCCTGCTGCATCTTGCGAGAGCGAAGAATCCATCGGTGCCTTCGATAAAATGTTGTTGGCGTGCCATTAGATTCCTGACGAACGTGCAATTACTCGTTTTAGTATTCGGACGTGGTATTTGCCAAATCAAAGCTTTACATACTCGAAATGTAATGGGTTGAAGCGGATGTTTTAGTTTAAAAACATGGCAAAATAACATCTCGAATAAGTATATAAAGCTGTGATTTCGCAGAAATTGAATTTAGGAGGAAGTCCGAATATTAAAACGAGTTACTGTTGGTAATAGTAGAAGGTAGGTACTCCCTAGGGGGTCATTCCTTGCTTCAACACGCTTCCTTTGCAAAACATGCGATACGTGTTCTACCAGTCATTCAATATCCGTTATAATAACTCCCAAGGCGATTGACGAAGGTACGTAACTGCTGAGTGATCCCAAGAGTCCCGTCTCCAATGCTACAGTTTCCAGTCGTTCCTACAGCAGCCGAGGAGGGGTCAAAGTTCACGCCGAGAGACGTTCGCGTGGACGCCATGAGATGTCGCTTCTTGCTACGGACTTATGGATCGCTATCGGGGTGGCTGCCCCAGCATGCCTCGATGCAACCACGACGCACCCTCACCGCCAGTGCAGACAGTCTCGAGCGCGGTGCACGCAGGTGTAGACGCACGTGTGCACGCGACCTCATGTCGATTAGTGGTCCGTCCGTGTGTGTGCGCCTTGCACGCGCGTCCTCGTGTACTTTGGCGGCTTAACACCGACCCTGAGAGACTGTCACATCGCGTCCGTCCTTGTGTGTTCACCAGCTAACGTAAGTTGCGATCGGACGTCCGAAGGCACCGAATACTTAGGGGACGAGTTAGTTAGTACAGCACGAGTTAGCTGGTGTAGACGAAGCAGTCGGAACCGAAGGTGAAGCTTTGGCATATATCGGCCAGGAGCGTTGAACGATAAAGACTTGAGAGAGCATGCGACCACTTTCAGAATTTTCAGAACTGTCGTGGATCTCTGATGCAGTGTTCAGTGGGCCTTAGGGGTTTGTTTGTGCGATCTTTCATCGAGGAAGGGAAGTTAAAAGATATATTCGAGTCCATTGTTTCGTGTCGTTTCTGTGTTGACACTGGCAGGTGATGTTTGATTATGTAACGCCGAAGAGCCACCGAACGAGGTCTCGTTGAGTTCAAGTGTCACTGAAGGATGCTTGTTTTTTTTGTCAGTCCTCGCAGGAGTATGTGAATTGCCTTCAATCGAGGTGATTCAGTTCTTCTTTAGGAATTGAAACAATTAGGTGAATAGTAGTGTTTGAGTACCCCTCGAGAATTAATTGTCTTCTTGATAGGAATCTCTCTGACTCTTACTTTTAGTCGATTCAATTAAGATTACCGTGTTTGATGAATGAACATTCCCTCGCATAAACAATTCAGTTAAAAATGAATAGTTAAGTACTCCAAGGGTTACAAATACTAACGTATTAATTTCCGTTCATCCCTAAAATTAAATCGCCCATATAATTAGTTGTTGAAAAATGGCTCTTCGATTATTTTGATCAATGCAGCAACCTCGGAGAACGAACACCGATATTATTATCGAAAATGGATATTTCGTAAAAATTGTGGATTTCGGTGAACGTAATCGAATCGTGTTAAAAACGTCTTCGATGATTTCTGTTCTTCGGAAAATTGTACCACCCTAAGTGACCGTATTAAACGTTCCGCCTCACGATCGATATATTCCCTTTTAAACCTGGTCGCTGATCCGTATGTTAGGGTGTGCTCGATTTCATCCACGAATAACGGCGCGACGACAATCACTTTACGTATCATTAGCACGCTAATCCTTCATAGACTAATCGTTTCATCGTGCCAGGAGACTGAAGCAAGCGTGCATATCTTTTATTCATCGTATTTACCGATGGAACTACTGTCACTTGCAATTTGCTATTTTTCACGAGTGTCGCTTGCATGCTAAAGCGTGAATAATTCCAGAACAACTTGTGAAACGTTGTAAACGTATCGTACCAAGTAATTGCCGCGATGAAAAATGTGATTGTCGTGTTAAGGGTACTTACTGTAGAAATGAATTCAATAAAGTAGAACGTAAGGATAGTTAAAATACGATAGAAAGGAGCCAGATGCATCTCCCAAAATTATTTTGGCAATCGTACGTGACTTCAAGAAAGAACGTATTACCCTTGGAGAAGGGCGACTCGGTGTTTGATCTCTTCGTGGTTTCAATTCCCTTTGTGGGTCAATCGATATGCACCCGTCCAAACTAAACTCTAATATGCATTTTCACGAGTCTCGTTCGCCAAATCCTCCAAGACTCCTCCCTCATCCAATTCTGAGGACTGTCGATGCCTGCTGTGTCTCTTCTTCAGCGTCTCGAATCTGTCAAACAAATTCCTGTCAACTTGATTCATGTAAACAGATTTAATTGCTGATATAGATACAACCTCCCCCAATTGCTTCTGCAAAACCTCCAAGACTCCCTCCTCATCCAATTCTGAGGACTGTCGACACCTCCTGTGTCTCTTCTTCGGCATCTCGAAGCTGTTAATCGAATGTCAGTCGGTCAAACTAAAAAATCATGTTCCACCGGACTCACCTCGTGCATTTAATTTCAGACGTTGGTGCCAAGTGACCACGCGATGAAAGCTGCAGACGAACTATCATCGCCTCTAGATCTCGGTGCATCTGTTCCCGAGGCCTGCACCGTAGGCGTAGTTTCTAACTCCTCCCGTCACGTGACGGGGAGATCGCCGCGGGCCTGGTTTGCCAGTTGGAAATTGAAATGTTCCGCGGTTAAAGCGCTGCCCAGTCGCTAGACATCCTCTGCCGCGGGTGCATTAGCCGCATTAAGAAGTTCCCTCTTAGAGATCGTGTTACGTCTGCGAATTTCGGTTGTTCCTCGCTGGCGGATGTGTTTAATCTGGTAAGTCTAGACGCCGATTCGAGACCCGTTCTCGGTTCTTCACGGGGTTCTTGAACCGGAGATGGTCAAAATTCTCATCTGAAACGGAACGGTGACAGGAAAGAATTCTGAATTTGTTAATGTTAGTCTTTTGGCTTCGTGTAGGGCCTCCTTGGAGAAAGTATTCTAGGGTACTCGAAGTATCAAGAAGATATAAATACTGTCAGCAGAGTGGCTTGCGATTAAATAGTCCAGGAGGAAGCCTGAGTTTCTCACAGGAACTTTTATCCTGTTTCGACTCTATCCTTTTGTGTCTTCGGAGCTATAACATCGCAGAATTTTGCCTATCTTTCGTTCTGATCGTTCTACCTCGATGGGACCTTACCTCGATCATCCTTTTCGCCTCGAAACTGGGTTAAAACGTTCGACCATTGTGATTTCATCTGTCGCGAATACCATTGAGAGTTCCACGACTTCGATACATTGTGCTTGGCGTTTGTATAGCGAGGGGTTGAAGATCGAGGAAGAGTAGCATGTGGTTGGGGATACAGCTTCCTCTCGAATTATTCGTGTCTTTGGCAGATCTTTGTTAGCAGGGATGGAAACTTATGTTTCCGCAACTGTTCATAGAGTTATTTAACGCAAATTTTTATTTCGATCATCCATTGAATAATGCGCCAGAATATATAAAAGAACAATCGTTGCGGAGTTCAACGAGGAAAGTTCAACGAGGGTGGGTTTAAAAATGGCAATACACTTCCAATTTATTCTCGGCTATTGTGAATAAACCAGTGATATAATAGGCGAGCTGTGCGCGACGACAACATGAAACTGTGAGATACGATTATTCGAAGATGGATAACAGGTCGCCGATACGATGTCACGGCAATTGCAATGGACAAGCGGTTCAACTATTGCGTAACAGTTCTCTCATAGATTGTAACAGCGATTGCTTTCGTACTCACGTGGCAGAAAAATAAGAATCACATAATTAAATGTACGTAGATATATATTTGTATAAATCAACCGCGATTAAGGGTGATTCCGATTCTTGAATTCAGGACGCTGCAGTGACCGAGCGTAAAACTGATCCACAACAAATAAAATGAAGAAGAAAAAATACTTTCTGGAATTCGAGGACCACGAGTTAGCACGACGCGTTGATGATTTTCTGAACAGGTGGTAGAATTCTTTCGTCACCTAAAAATAGCGCACGCGTAAATATATTTCTGGTGGCATTGTTTCTGGCCGGTGCAATGGCGAGTTGGTGCGTTCCCCTAATGCACTTCGAGGAAGTAAGAATTAGGAGATCGATTACTATACTTAAGCCGCGACGAACGCCAGTTGCAACGGGGTACGGTGACGTTCGAGTATTAAACGTGACGTCGTATATCGAGGATTTGCACCCCGAATAATCTCTCCGCGTCGTATTGAATTGAAACACGTGTGGCAATAGAATAATAAAAATTGTTAAATATTAAGACGAAAGTGGGAGGCAATATTTATTTATTTATTCCACGTATGGTTTCCACCGGGGAAGTTTACTCTTCGCATAGCGTCGAGTGACAGATTTAAAAGAATCTTTGAATAGTTATTTGCCCCTTGAGAATCATAAACACTCTATATCTGAGAGATAGATTTCATCCGTTTCGTTGAGCCAAAATACACTGCTGAAAATAATTAACAGCGCATGCTTGGACAATACTAAGGAACGGACCGAGTACCAGAGATCACAGAAATACTGTGTATTGGGGTCAGTAATATTTTCGCTGAATGTTTGGAGCCACGTTGTGTTTGGAACCTGACGTGGGATAGACATACTCGAACGCCTGATTCTCTAGTTGTTTTGAGTAGCGTAAACCGAGACGGGACAAAATTACTCTTTTCTAATGAAATTTCTTTGTACTTTACAGGAGAGGACAGCTACTGCCGAAGAAAGTCAATAAACGCACCCGTCAGCGATTTTTCAGGACACGTATCTGTTTTCAGCGTAACAGGTGATGATAACTCGTTAAAGAATAATTTCTACACGAGCAACTGAACTTAATTATTTATCATCCAGGATTTAGAATTACTCCTCGATAATAAATATTTAAACAGCAGACGACTACCGAGACGGCTCACTATAAATAGAACAGAATCACGCGACGGTGGATCAGCTATTAAATAGTCATTCGTCAGCAATTTTTACAAACTGATGTGCGAGTAAACGTTCCCTCGAACGTTATCCGGCTGCGTATTAATAGCGAACCGCAGGCAATGTCAACGACCAAATGAAATTGTTAAGCAGCCCGTTGTGGCCGTGTTACACGGAGTTAAATGGGGCTTTGTGTGCGGTAATAAGTACCATTGACATAGACGAACGAGCTCCGAATTTAGCGTGACACGCGAGACGTGGCCGTGTCAAAGATCCAGCGAGCGACGTGAAAGAATTCGAGGTGGTCTTTTGGCTCCGGAAGCGGAGATCTCGTGGCTACTCACACCTTCGCCATCGTTTTCTTTCAGCTCTGCCATTTATCTATCGTGTTTATTACTAACAGTCTCTGAAAAATCTATCTTAAAAAATAACAAATTTCTTTCGCGTTCCAGCGATATGGAGTCTATAGGAATCACATTTCTTCAAACTGGCGTACAGAGAGTCGTTCGTGGTCACTCGACCAATCCGATCGTATCTCCTCGGATGATCATTATTCAATCAAATTGATGTCGTGCATCCCAGCCTCCATGCCGAGCGATTTCTTTTGCACGCTGATAAGATAATGATTTCCTCGTTTCTGAACGTTTTCTTCCCCGTGGGCAACTGCAGAGGAATAGTAGAACCATTGTAAAACCAGTTCCAGTTGAATTCGATAGTCTCCGCTACAAATCAATAGCACTCCTCTTGCTATCACTGGTACTACCTACTAAATACATGTTTCAATTTACTAAAACGATTCGATCTTCTTTGACTTCGAAGAAGCTTTAAATTCGGCTACACCTGTGACACAGCGTCCCTATAAAGAAAACGGGAGTCATAGCTGAAAAGTCAGGCGCGTTCTTCGACGCTCCGAGCAGTAGGATTTCGTATCGATGATTCCCAAGCCGTAAAACGCAAGACGTAACGGTGCACGCGGTTCGGCGGAACAACCGTGGATCAATTGGCAGCGCAGAAACGGCGAAGTGAGAATGCAGTCCGTGTAACCTTCAGTAAGTTAACTACATTTGACCTCAATGCAATAATTAAGAGCAATCAGTTCGCGAAAGAATGTGCTAAAGCCGCGATGCACGAGTCCGTACGAGAGATTCGCAATGATGAATTGCGATTTTTGTACCGCGCGGCGTGCGTCGTTGTTGCTCCATATCCGCCAATTGATTAGGGCTTAATGCAACGGAGAGCCTGCCCGCGGATCTAGGTCGATTCTTTGATCCTTAATCGATCGCAGGCGGAAAGCTTGTCGATCTTTGCCCTCGGCGAGCCGCCGGTTCAGACACGATTCTGTTGAATCCTCCTCTGGTAGATTTAAATCGACCTGGAGGCTCGGTTTTCAGCTCGTTTGAACGCTGAACCTGACGGATAGAATATTGCGAGGTTGAAAAAGATGGGGAGCTTTTGTTTTAGGGATTAATTAACGAGGAGGGAAGTGTTACGATGTTTCTCGTGTATTTTATGGTCGATAGTTATCATTGATACCAAAGGTAAAACTGTTCAGGTCTGCTCCTTCGGTCTTGACGCAACAGAATACAACGGGACGATTGTATGTTACACGTTATAATTGAGATTGAATTTCACGAGTCTTCGTTTTATGTTTAAAATACAGACGAGAGGTCAAAGCGACAAATAACAATGGAGAACGCCAAGGAGGAGACGATAAATATGCAGCTCATCGGTTCCGAGAGTCCGTACAAGTACGTCTGATTCTACTTAAGGCAGTCCAGTGTCTCTTGCCAAGTGTTAGATTTAAGAGTGTCGATATATACTTTCACAAATATTTGGTACACATAAACGCAGCATTTCTAGTATAAAAAATCAATCCCCCGCGACACGGATTACATATGCAAATTGATGCGATTGCAGAGTTAACAATGAAATCGCCGGAAGTGGCCTGAACGCGTCGGAAGTTCCAATATCGCCGACTACAAACGTAGAAGACTATGACCCCCATAAACATCGAAATAGGCCGAATCCAACTTCGTGAGTATACGAAATTAAAATATCGTTATTAGTCGATTACTGTTACGAATTGTTATTAACAAATTAAGGCGTCCAATTTTATAGACAGTGCCTGAAAGCGTTCCAACTCGTTTGGCACTCCACTTACAAATGCAGTATCGATACATTCCGTAATTAATATGTTCGTTAATGTTTCCCTTGCAGAAACGCGGAGACTCTGATTCACTTGCTGAAGGGAAGTCTGGGCACGGGGATCTTGGCGATGCCAAACGCGTTCTGCAACAGTGGACTTGTGACCGGTGTGATAGCCACAGTGATCATAGGAGTGTTATGCACTTATTGCTTGCACGTACTAGTGAAAGCTCAGTACAAACTGTGTAAACGGTTAAGAGTTCCTATATTGAGTTACCCGATGAGCATGAAGTACGCTCTCGAGGAAGGTCCTGTGTGTGTCAGGTGGTTCGCACCCTATGCACCGTAAGTACGATTCCCTCTGTGCACACGAACACACATAAACATTCGTTCACTTCTTCGATCGTCCTTTTCGCTATTGCCATTTTAATCGTACACTTCAGAGGCTCTCGGAAAACAGTTTTCGAGGTATTAGGTGTAAGAAGAAAAAGAATTTCAATTTGAGGTGTCAGATACAAGAAGAAAAAGAATTTAGATTTCATTTACAAAAGAATTTATATTCGAGGTATTACGTACAACGAGAAGAATTTAGATGAATTTAAAGATTGAAGTTTTTTACTTAGGAGCGATGTACGAGCGTTCGTTTATGAAAGGTCGAGAATCGAAGAAACTGATCCGAATCTCAGTAGTAGGATCCTCGAATAGGCACTGTCTGGTCATGGTCGGCCGATTCTACTTGCTTCCTCGCTTTCTACGCGTGAACGTTCAAAGTCATAAGACCGTTGAAGTTTCCTGTACGAAGTTTAATTAGTTCCGTTACGTTAAATCTATTATAAATCATTCCGTCATCTGCAAGATCTTAACAATTCACGCACATACACGCACGCACATATCATGCCACACAACAGCGGCATCGAAGCTCCCCGCGCAATTGTAACATGAAAGTTGATATTATTTGCAGAGGTCTCGTAGACGGGTTCATGATAGCGTATCAATTGGGAATATGCTGCGTTTATATCGTATTTGTAGCGTCCAATATCAAGCAGGTAAATAACAGTCGGATAGAGAATACCTTTCTGTCTCGCTTCGTCGTCCAAGCAGTACCCGAAAATGAATGTTTTCGTGAACATTCGTGAGAAAGAAACCCTCAATAAAAAAAAAAAAAAAAAAAAAAAAAATCGAACAACCGGACCGATCAATTGAACTCATCGACACCGTTCTCTGTTCTGTTGATGAACGCAGGTGGCTGACGAGTACTGGGCACCGTTGGACGTTAAAACGCACATGCTCATTTTATTGCTACCGCTGATTTTGATAAATTACGTTAGGAACCTGAAGTTACTGGCGCCGTTCTCCACTCTGGCGAACGCGATCACGTTCGTCGGGCTTGCCATGATTCTGGTGTACATGTTCGAGGATCTACCGTCGCCCAGCGAGAGGGAGATGTTCGGCACGCTCCGAAACTTCTCCCTCTACTTTGGAACGACGTTGTTCGCCCTGGAAGCCGTCGGAGTGGTAAGCAGAGGTTCATGTATCTTTTTTTCTACGGGATATGTATTAACCCTTAACAAGATATTTCTCATTTATATCTCTTAATAAGATAAAAATGTTACTTCCTTCATTTCATTTTCATTTAACTCTTATCCACATCTACGTTTCTCAATCACTTTTACTTTGATCCATTCTACGACGAATAGATTCTCTCGTAAGTCGCTCGACAATCGTGGATACCATCACGATGGGACACCCTGTAGATGGGAGTACGTATAAGAAAGAACGGAGTAGCGAACCATACCCAGTGGAATATTTCTGTTCGACGGAGATGTACAATTTAGAACAATATCCGTTACGCGGCGCATTAGTTTTTCAATTTTACCCCTACCCAGTTCGATCGATCTATCGTCTGGCCTCGTCGATCGTTCCCCGTGACGGCCGGCGAAACGAGTAGGCCTCTGCGCTTAGAATAGATCAACGGCGCCGCTGCATCGTTAATAAACAAATAACTGGCCACTTACGAACAAGTTTGAGATTGCCGTGATCAGATTGTCAGTGCGTCAATGCAATCCCTGCTATTATTTTCCAGCTGTTCCCAACCCAACGGCCGATCTCCGTGGTTCTCAAACAGTTTTTCTTTTATAATCGATCAGAGTTCAATCGCAAAACAATGATTTCTGATAGTTTCCTAAATTTCTTCCCTTCGGTCATGTTCTTTTCTTCTTCTTTTTTTTTTTTTTACTTTTGGAGCAACTAGGAGATGCTTTATTTACTCGAATTAACGCGCGTATTAACTCTTCTGTCGCAGATCATAGCGCTAGAAAACAATATGAAGACACCTCAATACTTCGGCGGCTACTGTGGTGTCCTCAACATTGGAATGACCGTGATAGTGGCGCTATACATTCTCATGGGATTCTTCGGTTACATAAAATACGGATCCGATGCCGGCGGTAGCGTCACCTTCAATCTACCCCGTGATCAGGTGTAAGTAAACGGTATAAAATACAATGGCGTATAAAAGTCGCCTCGATCAAATAGTCGTCGTACTTTCTACGGATTTCTTTCGCAGTATGGCGCAAAGCATCAAGATTATGTTCGCGATCGCCATTTTCATCACTCACGCTCTGCAAGGATACGTCCCTGTCGAGATAATATGGAACACTTACCTGGATCAGAAGATACAGAGGCGAAAACTTTTCTGGGAGTACGTCTGTCGTACCATCATCACTTTGGTGACGTGTAAGTGCGTTACTTTTACAGTTCCGTTGTTTTCTGGTCTTTCTAAGGTTGTTGTTCCGTGGATTTATTCGATGGAGAATTTTAACAAAACTTCGAACGTTGCCACCAGTCAGATTCAAGCCTTCGAAAGATTATTATTGCTCGTTGACTTTAATCGAGGGTCGAACAAACTTCCGAAGACAATGATTTTCCTACGATCCCTCCACCATAAATATCTGTAATGTCAACGAAAGAATCGGACTTTTAATTGAGCAATAAGCCTGGTAGCGAGATATTCGAGACTAGCGTGATCTTCGTGACAGCTCCGTAACGAACACCTTATAATATCACAAACGGAAATTAACGCGATATTCTCGATTCCATCGCTACTCTCACTGAATGCTGTCGAACTCTGACGATGGCCATCGGAGTGTCATCGGTCATGGTAAAAAGAGGGGGTAGAGTTCCTGTCAACTGGACAGCTGCTAAGATTGAGACGTGTTTTCATACCATCAATTCATTTACGTTTGTAATTGATATTATTGTATAAAGCTATTCTAAGACACGTGACTATAATACCGTTATCCATCGATTACGTCAAATTTTGCTAATTGTTTAATCTTGTCATTAGTATACGATCAATCATATGCAAATATATGGAAAGTGATATTTCGATTTGACAAGTTGATCGTTATTACAGCGACGTTACAGGAACCGTTCGACACTTGTTCGATTCTTTTGTTGATCTTATCACGTTGACTGCCAAACTAGTAATCGTGACAATTTCTACGAGTTTGTATATAATTAGGAATCGTGTAATCTAACATTTGTGGTGGCACTTATTTTTCCAACCCCTTTAAGATTCTCCAACCCTATCCAGATTAATTTTCTTCGACACCTCACCTTCGGAAATTAAATTACTTAATTCCTCGGTGAAATTTCATGTCACTCGTACCTGACAGTCAACGCGTTGACTATCTAAAGAACGTCGGAGTAAATCGAACGATTTTTTTCTGTACAGTCACGCTGGCTGTCGCCGTGCCCAGGCTGGGACTGTTCATCTCCCTGTTCGGAGCACTCTGTCTTTCAGCCCTTGGGATAGCCTTTCCAGCGATCATCGAGATCTGCGTGCTCTGGCCGGAAAGAGAGCTGGGTCCTTGCATGATCCTACTGGTGAAGAATTTGTGTCTGATCGTATTCGGTCTGCTGGGTCTGGTGGTGGGCACCTACGTTAGCATCGTCGACATAGTAAACTCCTTCAAGTGAGGGCTGGGAACAGGAACGACTCAAGAAAAGCAAAGAGCGAAATTATGAGGGGGAAGAAGGAGAGAATACAAAAAAAAAAAAAAAAAAAAAATGGGAACACTCGTTCGCGTAGGGGACGCGCCGCAGCTTCAATCAGTTTAGCTTACAGAGCGGTGCATTAGGTAGACAGTGCCTCGTTAAACGCAGTGGCAGAGAGTATTTTAGGGAACGCGAGCAGCCAGAGATCAGATTCGGGATAAACGCTTCACACGCGTCGCCGCCGTTTGTAGCACACGTAGACCGAATTCGTAGTTTTTAAACGATAAGACGAGAGGAGTGGTACCGTGTTGGGCAGGTGGTTCGAAGGGTACGGTCTCTCTGGTCAAAGAGGTGGGGAATGAACGGTGGTGCACCCGGATATGTAAAGAAAGAAAATGTTACCTTGGATACGCCACCGAAGACGGATAAAATGAACACAGGGTGTCCCTATAACATTTTGCTCAAACTTTCCTTCGGTTCGGTGAATTTCACTAATCGCGTATGCGCCATTCACTAGTTAACACGTACGTTACGAATTTATAAAGTTCATGAATGTATCATAAATTCGTAAATATGTCAGAAATTGGCGAGCTCTGTTGTAAATTTCTACAGATTCTATAGATTTGTTACGAAGTTGTGAACTTCGCTTTGTAAATTTATTGAGCTATCGTTTTAAAGTTTGGCTAAATATTTTAAGTACACTGAATATAAATGGCGATTACCGAACAGAGGCCGAAAGGATCGATGCTTTTTACGATAGTCAGGCGAAAGAACGAAAACGTGTCGATACTTACTAATTGCAAGGATGAAATGTATCGTAAATGTACGTCTCGCCAAAGACTATAACTTGCCAAAGTTCGAGGCTAACTTTGTTGGAACCACGTTTCTTGCCATTTGTGGTAGAAATATTACCGACGATGTTAAACGGCGACTTTGAACGTGGCGCCTATATGCATGACTGATCTCTAGCTCAATTTAGTTGCACTGCCTACAAGTACTAGAATAAGAACTAACACGCACGACTTAAAGTCTCTGTGGGCTTTGCTCCACTGGAGTCTATATAATGAAAGTACCTTAGATAACTCATTAACGAAATAGGCCTTATTGTATAAGCAATTCCCTTGGCGAGGTAGTCGTTCCATAGTCTTAGATCTTCTAAGTAAGGATTCACCATTCTTTTTCGCGAGACGAGATGAAGTAGTGGGAGAAGCCAAACTGAGTATTGGGATAGTCTCTCTCAGTCGTCTCGGCAGATGAATTTATTCTGTCTAAACTAGAATACCATAGACGGATAATAAACAACATTTCATTCGACAGCACATTATCGAACTGCGTTAATTTAAAATACGATAAAAGTTTTGTACAGATCTGTATCTTCATCCTTGCGATTAGTACCTCGTCTCGCAAAGCTTGGCCCGAGGATACGAAAGTCCAAATCGAGTGACCAATCGAACGACGCCCAGCACCGAACTCAATTCGCTCTCGAAAATGAAAAGAAGAAGAAAAAAAAAAAAAGAAGACAAATCGTCGACGATATCACGCGACAAACGATACCTGTGATCGAAGATTTTATACAGGAATGAACGATGCATTTCTATTGAATTGTTGAACGAGTTACAGATGTATACAGACGTTAATTGTTCTCCAACTTCCGGTAGGATGTTCGCCAGTCGTGACACGAGTACTTACGTTTGCGTGCAATGCACACTGCGCGCCTACGGGGTTGGGATAAAAGTATTTATGGGAATTGAAATTTAATTTGATCTGGTTGAGAACGCGAATGTGTTTCTGTAAGAACTCTTCTTCCAATCTTATACGCGCAGTGAGCGTGGTTCAGGCGTTGACAAAGGATATTTAACAGCCATTGATATTTGTAGAATAGAATTATCGGTGTAGGCACCTACTTGTTGACTTGCTGTTACGATAGAGCGTTATTGATGATGTTGAAAAATGGCTTTAGAAGAAACGAGAGAGAGAGAGAGTTTAAGTCAGCGTTGCCGAAGATGATCTGATACGTATGTCGTGATTAACTCTTGGACCATTCAGGAAGGAAGGAAAGAAAATCGAAGGAAGTTATTCGGAGGTCAGTGTACTCTGAAGAAGGGTTGAAGAAGGGTTGAAGAAGACGAGAAGTTGACACTGTTGCCACTCAAAGATTTATATGAAACTAATTATTTATACTTTTGTTACCTCTGAAATAACGGTTGAAGAAGATAAAAGTTAACATTGTTGCCACTAAAAAGATTGATATAAAATTAATTATTTATACCTTCGTTACCTATGAAGAAGGATCGAACGAGACAAAACTCGACACCTGCGTTCTTCAAGAATTAAAAACGACCAAAATGTGTTCCCCAGGAGTGAAACTAAATGAATTAATTTTTATTGTCTTCGCTCTAAGGAAGAGTTCTCATCGATATCTCCTCTCAACGTCGGAACCTTGCTGCAGTCGTACACTATGACGGATAAAAGCAATAACAAGGACGATGAAATGCTATGGGTCGACAGATGCCCAACCGATACACGTAGAGCATTCTAACGCCATATTTTCTACTCGAGAAGCTTGCGCGACAATTCCAGCTGCTGCAAGCGAAGCAGGGTAAACCAAACACAGTTCAAACGACACCGTCATGACGAATTATCGCTACTTTGTATTTGTATCGTCGCTAATAATTGCGATTTTGCATCGAATTGCACGTTCGTTCGCGTCACGACGCTCTGTTGAGCGAGAATCAGGGACGGGCAAAATTTCTAATCAGATAAAAAGAAAATTGAATTGTTAAATCGATAGAAATTACATTCCTTGCCTTTATATTTAATCACTTGCAACTTCGGTTCGAGCAGAAATGATCATTTTGTCACTATATGTTAAATTACCAATCTTCCACGTGCTTTAACAAGGTTGGTACGTTAACGTATCAAAATGGCGAGTATGTGTTTGAATTAGAGTTACACTATTGATTGAATATAGAGAAACAGAATCAATTTCTCTTGCCTGTCTCTGGCAAAAATCGATTCGTTTACGCGTCTTTAATGGATCCACGACGATCGCACAATCATTCTGCCGCAATCTTTCGTTCGTCGCGACGCTTACCGACTCGTATCGTTCTCCTGGAATTTTACACGTTAAAGAAAGAAAGAACAGCGAAAACGAAGGAAACATCCAAATCGAGGGTCGTACTTACGATAATCGAGAGGACATCGGTGAAACCAGGTACGCGTTCGCGGCATCCCTTATTTCCAGCTGTACCGATTTATTCAGAAAACAATCGTCGAGATTTTGTACGTTTCTAAAGGGTTTCTTTTTTCTTAAGAGATCTGCATTTTGTGTGCACGTTTTAAATTTCAGTTCTTTCTTTTTCGTCGTTATATGTCTGATATAATAAACACTCTATTCTTACCCGCACCGTCTTATTTACCCTGGATGAAACGAAAATCTCTCCTCGAGCATTTTCCACTGGAGGGATGTTCGCGTCTCTGGTGTTTAATTTCGCCGTATGGAACAGAGTTGGTCACAGAGAGGAACAGTGAGGTAAAGTAACGATTCTACTTGGTACTTTCTTTTTTATATAATGTATTGTAATTTTCACTAATTCGTACGATTCCTAGTAAATGTTTCGTCAGACTTAGCTGGGCTATTATTTCTCTTGTAAATCGGTCCGCAACGCTATCAGTGTGCTTGTTCAACGTCGACCCTGAAAATAGTTCTCCAGAGTGTAATCGGTACATTCCAGACTTAACTTTCGCCCAATTGGTTTTTGTAAATTTGAACATTTATTCGTGATTCGTTTCGTTTTTTTTTTAATTTAGAGAGGGTCGACGAAGTTAGTACCGTAAACATTGCAAGAATCTTCGATTTTTCAACCGATCGAGCCGATTCGCTGTCAACAACAATCTTTCAAGACAAAAATAAGGTGCGTCGGTGTTTAAATATATGCTTTTTTTTTTTTTGTTTTCATACGTGTAAACCGAAGGATACATCGTCTAACATTAAATCGAACCGCGATACTCTTTTACCAATGTCTTCAATGTCCACGCGCAATTTTGGTACATCTAGAAATTATAATAAATAAATAATTCAACGATTCTCTCGTCTCAAATAAGCTATTACGTACGCTTCGATCTTACTTTTAAAAGTTATCTTTAAAGAACATTCACGCTAAATCAATGGAATTATACAAAACGACGATTTAATTACATTTACAATCTCGTTATTTAAATTGTTCGCGTTAGTTCGGTGCTCTCATTCCTCGCAGCTTTAGATAAACGTAAATAAATAACAGCTGATTTGAAATAACGAAATCATCCAGTACAGTGCGCTAGAATATCAAATAAATCACAGAACAAACGTGTTGCGATAACACCAAAGAATAATTATAAAATAATAGAAACGGTATTCGACTGAAAAACGATGCTGAAGATACTTCCACCGAAGTAAATACGCTCGATAGATACACTCTGCTAAACTCGCGATAAATAGACGTAATTACAATAAAGAATCGATCGATAACTTTCTACAAATTCACAAATCTCGACCACGGTCGTTCTCCGACTTACGATAAACTCCAGTGTGACTTTGTTAAATTAACAGCAAGTGTATAAACACGCGTAATATTCATCCGTGAATAACAAACTAAAGTATTATAAGAAATACGATATCACTTCAGACGAAAGTTGAGACTGTAATAAAGGACGCCGATCGGGTTTCCCAGGACAGAATCGAAACGAAACTAGAAAAATAGCCGATGAATTTACTGCGGCGTTCTCCAGGTAAACGATTGGTTGACGCAGGGACCAGCTACGCCTCTGAAGGAGCCAATTGCAACACCGATGGGAGAACCGGTTTCGGATTACGCGTGGTCACCACTGAAGTAACTACTCTGCATCATGAACAGTTTGTCGATGGGGTTGTGAATCGCCGCGTGCAAACTCTGCGACAACGAGGGTGCCTCGTGCGACGTTGGCCCGTGGTGAGAGTGAGAGCCACCCTGATGACCACCGTCTTGTCCGCCGCCGCTTTCGTTCTCGCCTATGTCGAAGCCAGCCTCCGTGCCGTCCAATGACAGATCGCTGCTGCAGAAGCTCTCGCCCGAGTGGCCAGGGTATGCGTCTGAAATACAGGAAAAATAGTGGTCAGGGGATTGGATCGAATCTTGATTAGGTTCGTCAGACGTGTTAAGACTAGTCACTTGCCCCGTAAAATAATTAACGAATGAACATTGGTAGGTTTACCGTTAACCCTTTGCACTCGAGACCTCTTTTTTGGTATCTACCAGCAACTCGAGACGCTTTCTTGACATTCTACATTCTACATTCTGTATCGCCACGAATGTTAAGCTTCGATCGACACTTCTAGTTCCAAAGAAACATTATTGCTGGTAGATCTGCTACGTGGGACCTAGTGGTGACTTGAGACTCACCTCTCGAGTACAAAGGGTCAATACTTTATTTTCAGAGGCTTCTCGAAGCTTTAACTTTAAATACCTCCTACGCTTTATCGATTAAAAGCTCTCAAAAATAAAATATCGTTATCCTCGATGCTTCGAGCCCTGTCACTGTAAAAATACTCGTATCGAGGGGTATATCGAGGAAGTTCCCGTTTGCAGGAGCATGATCAGCGCTCGGAGTCTGGATAGGTCTGGATAGGTAAGGCGCGAATGTTTTCTCTGCCAAGACGGAGGTTGTTCGTCGAATACGCGTTTTAAATGAATGTCTACGGTGAGAAGAAACTTACCGTCGGGCGAGTACGGGTTATTGGGGTTGAGCGGTTGGGTGGCTGAGGGGAAGCTAGAAGATTCCCCGTCGCGCATGTTCATGGCGTTCAAGTAATGACCTGCGAACGAGATCAGACGATTGGCATTGTAACCAGTGACGTTTCACCAAAGCCCCATTAACCAGTCTTCGCGACACCTCGCGAGGGTGTGGGTGGTCGTTAGGTAGAGTAGAGAACAGAAACAGGAAAGAAACGAGGGAATCGTGCGTAATTTTGCGCCTGGGTAACAGTCACGTTCCTCTCTTCGAAATTAAAGAACTTTCGAATGGAAGCTATTGTAAAAGTTCGCCTGAAATTCGCGCTCTGATTACGCACCCGTGTAGCTAAGATCCATGCGTGATCGCATGTATTATTCTTTGAAACAAGAATTTATTATTGTTCTAGTTGACGACATTTCTGATTGTTATATTTAAACACTATTTACCTATGACAAAGCTCTCGACCTGTTTCTCTATATTTTTCTCTTATTCTCGAAGATAACCACTTACAAAATCACGCGAGAATTTTTAAATTATCTCGTTCCGTTCTAGAGTTATTTAATTTCGAATCGAGGGATCCCACCGTGCGGCGGTTGTTCCGTGGCGACTCTAGTTGCCTAAACGTTGGATAGAACGGCTTACTGTGATCGCTGTGAGGGCTCTCCGTCCGTCGTTCCTCCTTAGGCTCCTTGTCGGATCCAGGCTCCGTCTTCGCCTTCCTCTGTAGCTTCTTCATCTTCGCCCGTTGATTCTGGAACCAGACTTGGACCACCCGCACGCTGAGGCCCGTGTCCTTCGCCAGGGCTTCGCGCACCTTCCTGCACGGTTTCGGGGAGATCTCGAACGAGGCTTTGAACTGACGCCTCTGGGCGGACGTGAGGATCGTTCGCGGTCGTTTCGGGCCCCGACGACCGTCTCTGGGCCGATTTTCGTCCAGCAGATCGTCATCTGTTGGAACGATTCGATTAATTTAGTTAATTTTCTTAGCAGCGCTATAAGGGTCGAGAACGCTAAAAGAAATCTCATTAAACCGAAGCTTAAATGAATATCCGTAGGAAGTCGTGACTAACAAACTGCTCCTCCATCGTTTCCCGCCATGAACTTTGTTTTCAAACGAGTTTCGAAATAAATACTCTTCTTACAATCGGATTCAAACGAAATCTTTTCTCACAGATTGGCGTATCCTTATTTCAACCGTGATTCGCGCGAATCGTTTCTAATTACTCTTGGTTTAAGTGTAGTTACCTTGAAAAGAGACAGCCTCGATTCGAAATTCCTGTAGGCTTTTACTTTGGATGTCTTTAGATTGTAGTAGTACAACCTGCGAACAATGCAACAAGGTATGTACAATACGTTCTCGCACGTGCGTCGATTATTTCGTTATTCTCTCTTTGTTTACTTTATTTTTTCTTTTAGATCGATGTTCGACGTACACGAACGGATCGACAACGCGACGTGGATGAAAAGCGAACAAACGAGATATCGTGAAACAATTCGACTGCGATTCTAGGTTCAACAATTTTTTCGTGGTTTCTCGTAGTTGTTACCGAACAGATCGCCAATCTCGATTCTCTCGAAATTAATGGTGAACAAATACGTGATAGTCGAGCAGTTTGCTGTCAAAGTTCTCGGTTCGACGTTAATTCTAGTTTCGTGGAACGTGCACCCTGGGAATTTGCTAATTCTCGGTCAACACGCGTTGCATCGAGGACTGAATATATTTCTGTGTAAGCTAAAGGGAAATATCTTATCGATTATTAGACTTTTAACACGTTGAATGCCACATCAGGTCCTGGGTGTAGTCCTTAGGACTCTGGGTGTCTTTTTATCTTTCCCTATCCTTTGTTTATAGATTTGGCGCTTAACGTGTTAATCAGCTGAGAGGAACATAGAAACGTTAACGTGCAAATGAGGAACTTTCTGAAAAAATGCCTGAGTAACTGTTGCAGGATATACACTTGCTATTACACTTTGGGGATTTCTATATATTTAAATATTACAGTCGCTAAAAACATATCACACTGTTTCGTTGCACCGAGAAATGTTGTATACGATGGTAATTCTTTTACCAGAAATGCAGACTTTTCAGGACGTTAACGATAAAATTAAAATGCTCGAATTTTGTTCAAATATCATGTTTCTCCAATGCTAAAAGATCACCATATAACTCTTATATAAATCCTTATTATTTTTCACAAGGATGCAAATAAAAGAAACGATAAAAGTGTAAGCATTGGTAGTTCTAAGCTCCGACGCAGAAGAGCCGTGTTACCATGCACGCAGTGTGCAACCGAGACGCCATTTTGGTACACGGCGAAACTTAAGACGTACAACTACCATGACAAGTTCCATTACGACTTACGAAATTTATATCGAAAAAAAAAAAAAAACTATTACTTTCTCCCTTTCACTAACTACGTGTCCACTTCGTTATTATATTTTTTGAGATCCTCAATAATGAACCACAGCCAAGAGACCAACCCTCTCAGCGATAAAACGGCTGCGTTATTTAGCCGTGTACGTGGGAATGCGTGTCTTTAATCGTCAGCACCGACCTTGGGGACTGTTGAGGTACAGTTCGTGCTCGTAGTCCCGTCTGCAGATCGGTTGTCCCTGCCTGAGGAAGTACTGGGCGCCGGGCGGCAACGGTTGCCCGCACATGCAACACGCGAAACACTCGACGTGGAAGACCAGACCAGGGGCCCGTAGCACGAAGTCCGAGCAGCTGATCTTCTCCATGCACCTCGCGCACTTCACGCCGAAGATCCTCTCGTAATCCGTACGACAGTAGAGTTTCAGCTCGCGGATGAAGCACGAGTGGGTGAGGGGCGTCGCGCAGGCAGCACAGGACAGACACTCCTCGTGGTAGTTCCTGCCAGCGACCTGCATCACGTACTTGTCAGCTATCGTGCGACCGCAGCCGGCGCAGATCGTCTCCAGGAGGCCAGACTCGGTCTTCACCGAGACCGACGGCTCTGAAAACGGCAAACAGGGGTTGCTGAACGCGACGTTGGACGTTTTTATAAATAGTTCTTCTTTCAATGGTAATAATGATGGCACGGTGTTTTATGTTCGTTAACCCTTTGCACTCGAGAGGTGACTCTCGGATACCATTAGATTTCACGCAGGAAATCTACAATACCTAACGTACAATACGATACGTTTCTTTAGGTTTAATTTCTTTGGAGCTCGAGGTGTCGATAAAATGATTGTAAAAGTAAGGCGGGGTAAAGGTGACCTTATTCTTAAATCTAGATAGCTTAGAATTCATGGCGATAGAATGCTAAGGAACATCTCGAGTTGCTGGTAGATACCAGGAAAAAAGGCCTCGAGTGCAAAGGGTTGACGCATCGACTGCCAGATAAATATTTTTTTAAGGTTCTGCTACGATTAGACATTATTTAGATTGTCGGAGACTACATAATCAAACGTTTATTGTGGTATTTATCAAAATTCATGAACTCCATTAAAGTTTCTGCTACGATTAGACATTATTTAGATTGTCGGAGACTACATAATCAAACGTTTATTGTGGTATTTATCAAAATTCATGAACTCCATTCAAGTTCGTCTCCTTCGATGATTAACTTTTAGAACTAATTTTTCCGGTCTGAACGCTCGCATTGGAAGCATCTGTTGCGTTAATGGGGATCGTTATCTTTTTTGGATTTCGAATGTTCACGCGCGAGTGTCGCTGAAAAATATTTTTGCCCGCGGGAGACAAATGCGCGCGGAGTTATTCGGAATGATATGACTGTCAGGCTGAGAAATGTGATAGCGTTCTAGAGCAAAGCAATATCGCGAGACCCATGAAATTTATTCCGTCGCTTATCGATTGCCGATAGTGATAAAGCGATGTTACGATAGAGCGCGATACGATAAGTTTCTATTTGCACAGGGCAGGGATCTCCCGTTTAATCATTTTCAAACGGAAATCTTCTATCTTAATTACAGTGTTATCCGCGACGGTTGAAACACCTGGTGTTAACGATGCTCGACAGTTTTCGAAACATTGCGTCTTGGAAACCTAATTTAATGCTTTCTAGCATACGTGTTCCAAATGATTTCGCGTGGAATATGTTCTTCTAAGCTGGCTATTTTCAACGGGTACTTTTCAATGAACACCCCACTTTCGGAATTGAGTTTTTTCGTTCCTTAACAAAGAGCCCTAATCGTCCAAGTAAAGATAAGTCGCATCTTACCAGCGTTATTGTTGTCGTTGGCAGGACGAAACGTGATCTGCGGCGCGGAGGAGCCCATCCTCGGCGGACCCGTTTCACCCTGGCGGCCCAGGGTACCCGGCAGCGGAGGGTAGAATTCCAACATGGTTCCCGATATCCTTGGCGAACTAGCGATTCCTCAACGAACCCCCCACCACCACTTTTCCCGTCGCACTCTCAAGAAATCCTCCAAGGAAAACGCAACAACCGAACGACGAAGTGGAACCCTCGAACAAGAAACGTTCCGCCGTCGAATCACACTGCCAGCGAACCCCTGATCGCCGAGTCCCAACGATTTCGCGGTGTTCACCGTCCACGAGAGACCACCGAAGAGTGTCCACGGCACGAAACTATCCTCCGATAGTTTACATTCGCACCCGGTGCCACGTAACGCGCGGATGGTGGCGACGAGCTTAACCCTCACCGGTTCTTCTATGTCGCGACAGGTTTCAAGAGAAGGCCCTGCGGGCGTCTCGAGGCGTCCTGACGGACGTCCAACTCTGACGAGCCCCAGACATCCGACCGTTTCTCATCCTAACGTTCTCCGTTTCTTCCTGTATGTGTTTTCTTCTCGGCGTTCCTGCAGGTGGGTGGTTTTCTCGAACGCGTATCCTGCTCCTCCGCGACGATCACACCTCGCACGCGTGTCGGCGGCCCGGAATCTCGAGCTTTTTTGACGCCAGCCACTGCATCGACAGCGAACATCAAGACCCCCACACACCCCCCCCCCTCCCCCACCCCACACCCCACCCCACCCTTGTTCGCTGGTCGACGACGTCCACCCACTCCGAGGCTAGGCGTCGCGAGATAGACGGACGATCGACGAGGGTGAACGGGGGCGGGTTGCCTTCATCCCCTATACCAGGGTGATAGCTACCAGACGAGGGATTGGCGGCGTCGGGACCCGCCCTTGGAAACAGGAGCATGGGGCGGGGGACGCGCGAGCGTCGCGGTGCTCAACCGGTTGCGTCCTGCGAACAGGGGAGATCAATATTTCGCGACCATTGCCAGTGACGTACTGTGGCCTCCAGGATTCCTTGAATTTCAGCTTCTCGCGAATTTCGACTCGATTGTCCAGTTGGTCGAACATTTTGGAGTATTCTCGGGGGTAGAAGGGTGTACTGGACGTCCAAGAGGAGTAACGAGGCTGCAGGGTGTAGGATGTTCGATCGGTAGTTCGTTTTGGGACCCTTGGATGGAATTTTAAAAGCTTTGTTGTGGTTTGAGAATCTTAGCTAGTCAGTTCCATAAGCGTTCGTACTCTATATGTTTATTGAAACAATTTGTCTAATTTAAATCAGCGACGGGCGAAATCCTAGACTTGGAATAAATCTGAAGTTCGACGATGTGTCTGTCTCGTTTCCTTCTTCCGGAGAATGGTAATCTTTTCGGTGGTCTGCGAGAGTATACTCGTCAAATTATTTTGTTCTTGTCGTGCTCGAGACGAGTTAAATCGCATGAACTTTTTAAATAGGAAAGAGCTCGAGACGAGTTAACTCATTAACAATAAACTCATGCGATTTAACTCGTCTTGAGCACGACAAGAACAAAATAATTTGACGAGTATACTCTCGCAGACCACCGAAAATGTTAAAACGAGAAAGCTCATACCGATTTTTCCGGAAATCGCGATGTTAATTGTCGCGAGGAAGTCACGGCGATGCAGGATTTCACTTTCCCTTCCATATGATCCGCCGGCGCAACGTGGTCGCTCGTACGAGGCCAATCAAGGCTGCGAATAGCTGGAAGACAGACGGACCTCGAAAAATTGACATATTGAGTGCATCGATGTTTGCTGATTCATTGTCTGCGCAGAAATCATATTTGGCAAACAAAAAGCTGAGGGTTTCTTTGTCTCTGTGCTACGATCGGGACGCGTAATCCCCTGTACAAAGTGCTCCGAAGTCGATATGAAATCTGGCACCGGGGAAAAAGAGTTTGTTTTACCATTTCGTCGCGAGTATTTGCAAAAAGAGGGCCTTCGCTATGTTCCAAATATAATCTTTATCGACGTGCACGTGACGCGCACCGGATCGTCTCCAGCAATTACATTTGCATTACGTTACATTAGGTAAAACAAAGAGCGCAAACGGTTTGAAACATTAATATCAAATCGGTTGCACCGTGTGCGATCGGCCTTACCTAGATCCACGGTCGCGTGCAACTGAATAGTTTCAGAGTGGTCTGAAACTGATCGGTTGCGCCGTGTGCGATCGGCCATGGTGTTAACGCGTGCTCTTTTCAATTTCGGTGTCTATCTACCGCAACCAATGTCACCCTTTGTTTCGCTGAATACCTCAGGGTTCGCAGGAACAGAATCGCGAATTTCGGAACAGTGACACGCGGAAAATTCTTCCTGAAATCTTTGATTACAAGTTTCGATCGCTACCTCGGAAGTTCCGGAACATCGTCGGGAGTTTCGAGAAGAATTCCTTTCGAACACAGAGCTGCTCGACAATTTCATCCTCACGGAAAATAAAAAAAAAAAAAAGAGGCGACCGTTCCTCCAAGGAGGGAAATATTCTATTCAAAGGAAACGCCGCGACGCGAGAACGGAGCAACCAGTTGGGAAACAGGGGCATCTCGCGAGAAAGTGGAACTCGTCTCGAAGCAATATCGCGCGAACTCCGTGGGGAGGGGGGTTGGCGCGCCTCCGTGTATTTTGTCGCAAAAGTCGAGGCGCGTCGCGAGTATTTGGCCGTTTGTCGGCCGGCGTAAATACGCGACAATGCCGTCCTTTGTGGGGCTCGTCTATCAGAGATGTTTGCCAAATAAAAGCCTATATGGGGGCTCTTTGTCTCTGTGCGCGGACACGCCGTGGCTACCCCTCTCCAATGATACGCCTAGTTGCCTATGAAACTCTGGTATGCCCCCACGGTGCTCGTACAAAGGGGCATCAAGTTGGCGGTAATGGTGATGCAAAGTATTTCAGGGTGGAACACGTGCGTAACGTCGAGGGGTGCCGGTGCCCTCGGACGCGGTAAATCGGGGCCGACAGCTAGCATACGTTTCGCTGGGGTGGGGGTGTTTGTGGGCCGAATTTCTAGCGAAACCTATCCTTTGAAAAACAGTGAAATCGAGATATCGCAAGCGTTAAGAGTGACGTTGTTCGTTGATTGGGTTGCTTGGTGCTCCGGCAGCTTCGATTTAACAAAAAAGTGGAACGCGTTGAGAGACGAGTTAGGCGTATACAAAGTGAGATGGAATCGAAGAAGAAAGGAACACGAGTTGTCTACATCTAGCCTAGGTAACCACCAACCTGTTGTACTTTTTAAACGTGCTCGTTAGATTCCAAGCCACGCGAGGTGGCAATGGTTCACGATTAATAAATTTGACTATTTAAAGGATGCCCTATGGAAAATCCACAGCGCGTATTAGGATGCAGAGACACCCCCTCGATGCGTGACCAAAGGGTGTTTAGAGGCCCGCGCGCAGGGGATGCTCTAGCTCCCTTCCAATCGGGAAACAACGCTGGAACCGTATCGGCATAATTACACGGACAGCGTCAGTGTCACATATCCCGAACAATGCACAAAACGGGCCTGGATGGGTGGGGTAGATGCACCTGCAAGGAGCCATATTTCATCCATCATTCGGACCGACTTTTGTGCCTTTATGCACCATGAAATCGCGAGGGTCATTGGGTTTCCCTAATTTCTATTATGCTCGGATGAGACCGCGTTAGATATCGACCACTCCAGTTACAGGGGATGCTAGATTTCGAATAATGAGCCGTAATAAAAAAAAACCTGTAGAAACGTTGAAGGATGGTGTCGCGAAATTAATTTTTAAACCATTTAATTATCGCGCCAGTAGTTCTTATAGTACGATAATGCTATATTGTAACGTGGTACCGTAGCGTTCGAGTATTAATTCGAGCATCGAGTCTTTCTTCGACCACAGTTTCGAGTTGAAAATAAGAATCTAAAGGGTGGAATATTTTGTTGGAAGTACAGATCGAAGGTGCATTCCGTGGAAAAAGAATTGGTAGCACAAGTACAAGTTTTCGACACGTGGCCCTACGCGCACCCTTTGGTCACGCATAAAGGGCTGTCGCTCCATCATAGTACGCATCGAGGAGTCTTGAACCCAATTGCGGCACGGAGATTCACGGAAGGGTGCGCCCCATTTAAAATTACCGTCATTGATTATAAATTATTCGATGCAAACTGTACAACTTGATTAGGGGTACGCGCGAGAGGGTAAATATCGTTGCTTTACTAACGAAACGATTCTAGAACGTTCTTTTATTATCAGCTACAAAATTCTGAAACCATTCGATGGTAAAATACACGAATGTTTCAGTGCTGAAATGTAGGGATGGCGTGAAACAATCACTAACTGTGAGCGGTTCGTGTTAATTGTTATCGTTAATGTCTCCCCTTAGGGGACATTCAAGAAACTACAAACGAGTCAAATTTAAATTATATTAAAATTACATTAACATTGCTTTTAGACCATATTATAATACATATATAATCCAAGAACAACATCATTCGTGAAAAATGAAAAGAATGTTCTCTACCACTCAGAAGCGGTCACGAAGAATCACGAATCACTGTGAACGATCATCGTGATTGAGAATAAACGTGATCGAATCATGAATGATTCAAAAGTAGCAGTTCACGCCATCTCTACCGACGTGCCTCGACACTTCGACGACAAAGTGCTGAAATTTAGCTGCGATTCTGCTCTGAAATCTAAAAGGTAGTTCTTGTCAATCGAGTGGCCCAATTGCTGAAAAGAACCTGTACATATCGACGACGTCCTTGTTTCACCCTTCGCACGGTCTTACCAGCATTCCTGACGTCGGCCCTAGATAAAATGTAATAACGCGTCCTCTTCACCCTGGCGCGCACGAATCCATCTTTCGCTAACGAGGGTGGAGGCTCACGATTGCGTCCCAGGAATGCGTGATGACTACTTTGTCAGGAATGCGGCGTGGTGTACGCGAAACGAGAGCGCCTGGACGCCCTGATGGGAGCAGCTGCGCTCGCAACAAACGTGGTCCAACAAAGACGCGTCGATCCTTACCTTCGTCAAACAAAAAAAAATTTCGCGAATTTACAACAGCCACGAAAAAAATTTATTTATACTTCAACTATTACGTTTTAATTATTATTGGGCCGTATTTAACGCTTGCTTTATGCGGATTTTTTATCAGATTTTCATTCGTAACGCTTTGAAAAGTGAATTTACTGAAATCAATTAAGAGGCTTGGACGAAAACGAATTCGGAAATATCCTTGCCTCTTTACATGAATAAGAGACAGCATAAGAGCCTTGTCAAATTTGAGATAGGGGCCAAATTAAACGTAGACTTAAACGGAGGAGATTTCTTTGTTTAAAAACAAGTTTGCTTTTATATCGAGCACTTCAACGACAAAGTGTTTTAGGTCAAAGAATCGATCATCGTTCTGAAAGAAACTCGAATCGTGTTGCAGGATTTTTCACGACTTTTGTACGAGGTGCCAGGCACTCGTGACTTTCAGTTTGACCACCCCCTCCGCCCCAGCTTCTGATCCCGCTGCTCTTGGTCGCTCGATAAAAGGACACGCCGTGGAAACGAGACGAGAGGGCAACAGGAACGATTTCAATTCACTCGATACTTTCTTTCGTTTCGGGGGGCCTCGTGTTTCCCGGGGAATTCTTTGAAGAACGAGGCGGG